TGCCATTGATTCACCCTCCATTGGCCACCGCAGCCGGCGCACTGCGCTGATCCGAAGGCAGGAGCCAGGTGCTTCTCCTGGTCTCCCATGGGGTGCAGGGCCCAAGCACTTGGGCCATCCTCCACTGCACTCCCTAGCCACAGCAGAGAGCTGGCCTGGAAGAGGGGCAACTGGGACAGGATCCGGACCCCGACTGGGACTAGAACCTGGTGTGCCAGCGCCGCAAGGTGGAGGATTAGCCTGTTGAGCCACGGCGCCGGCCGGATAGAAGCAAATTTTAAATATTTTCAATTTATTTATTTGAGAGAGAGACAGAGAGAGAGAGAGTGAGCTCCCATCCACTAGTTCACTCCCCATATACCTCCAATGATGGGGCTGAGCCAGGCTGAATCCCAGAGCCAGGAACTCAATCCAAGTGTTCTTTCTTGGTGGCAGTGACCAAACTACTGGGGCCGTCACCTGCTGCCTCCCACAATGCACATTAGCAGGAAACTGGAATGGAGAGTGAAGCCAGAACTTGAACCCACGTACTCACATATGAAATACAATCTTGTTAACTGGCATGTTAATAGCTAGGTAAGACAAATGCTTTCCCATCATACTTTCAGTAGACATGTTTGCAAATTCTGATTTGGCCTAGGGAAAAATTAAGAAAATATAAGAACTTTATGGCAATTGAGGCCTTAGACTGAAAAATAGGAGAATTGAGAGGAAATTTATATATGATGCCATCAATATCTTCATCACTCCTCTCCAGTCTGAGCCTCTGACTTATTTTAAGATTATGGACTTCTCAATCTTTTTTTTTTTTAAAACCAAACCAAACCAAACCAGACCAAACCAAAAAAAAAAAAAAAAAAAAAAAAAAAAAAAAAAAAAAAAAAAAAAAAAAAACCCTTCTGAATAACTAGTTTGTTTAAATTTTGTATATTGAACCCATTTGTTCAATATAGAGACTTCTATATTATATGCATACCTAGCCATAAGTATGCTATATACCTGAGCATTTCTGTCTTAGAAGATAATGTAGAATTTATTCGATCTAGCTATAGTTAGGTGAAGAGACCAGCTGGATTTGTAGTAAAAAGGATTGCTTGTTAAACATCCTCATCTCTTCATTCCTAATTACACTGGCACTAGTGCACCTACTTTTCAAGTTGTACTTACTGCTGTACTTTTGTAAGATGCAACCTTAGAACATGACGCCTTGCCTCAGCAGTCTCTTCACAGCAGAAGGGGACCCTCTAAGCCTCCATCAGGAAAAATGCATTCCTGGATGTCAATGTCGTTTTCATCGCTTGTTCCTGAAGAGTATGTAATATCCCAAAGAAATCAAGCATTGAATGATCTTAGCACTTGATATACATATTCAGAGGCTTAGCACTTGGACCTTTAGCATGTGGTTTTATCCAGGTGACAGGACTAGCAGAAACAGGGTATGACATCTGTTTTTGCAACATGATCTTAAGGAAACTCAGTTCTAGAGCAGCAAAGAGGCTTGAAGATATTTGTCTGCAGTCCTGTAAGTAATCAATGACTGAAGTGGAATTACAGCTTTGGCTTCTTTTTAAAAAAAAATTTGATGTCTTTATTTGAAATGCAGAGCAATGTATAAAAAGGGAGAGACGAAGGGAGACAGGGAAATCCTCCATCTGCTGTCCTACTCTCCATATGGCTGCAAAAGCCAGGGATGCATTATGCCAAAGCCAGGGACCTGAAACCCCAACCAATCTCCCGCATGGGTGGTAGGGACCTAACCATCTGGGCCATCCTCTGCTGCTTTGTCAGGTGCATCAACAGGAAGTTGGATCTGAAGTGGAGCAGCTGGGACTCAAACTGGAACTCCTACATGGGGTTCTGGTGTCACAGGTGGAGGCCCAACTCACTGTGCCACACTGTCAGACCTAGCTCCTTGGTTTTCAATGCTGTATTTCCTTGCCCACACATGTCTTGCCTGTAATGGGACAGGGTATGGTTTCAGTTATAAAATCATTCCTGAATCAACACCCTAGCATCATGAATTCAGAGAACTGCCAAACTGGTGATAGAGTTAATGGTCCCAGATGGTTAAGAATTCATTTCTTCTTGTATTGAAACCCATTATAGTTTTATAACCCAAAATAGTTCTGACTTTGCTCTGGGCCTAGAGATAAGAGGTGTCCCTGTGGTCTGGGAGCAGAAGATTCCTGTTCCTGGATCTGCAATTTCATAAATTGCTTTTGTGGGTTCTTCGTTCTTAATTTGTAATTTGTTTCTCCCATATGTGGCATGTGGGGAAATATGCTGGAGACCATACTAATAAAATACATTGAATAATGAGTTTCAATCAGCTTGCAGGGCTTCTCAAGACTTTGGAAGTCTCCTACTGAAAATCCATTTAAAAGGAGAGTAGTCTAATTTCCTTTCATTTTCTTGGCTCAGAAGTGAACATTGTCATTATTAAATCTGCATTTTCATCTTGCATAAAGAGAATGTGAGAAAACTGACCTAAACTGATCAGTAGGCACACAAATAAACATAAAGACAGAGACTTGTAATCACTTTCCCACCTTTATTAACCAGGGTAAGGGAATAAGAAGATACATACACATATTCTATAATATTTTGTCTCTTGAGTAAAGTTTAGGCAATTTTGTATACATTCATGTATAGTACACATAGAAAGCCAAAAAGAACTATTTCTCATCTATATTCTTGGTTAAGTTTGGAAGGTACATTTCTATCAGACTTCTATGGAGCAGTTATAAAATGACAGGTTAGGTAGAGTTGGTGCCACTTTTCCATGTTCCATTTCTATGGTATGCATTTTCTGAATTGCTACTTTGTTGCCCAATTTGAGGATGGTAAAGCACAGTGAAGAGGCACTTTGGGCAAGAGAAATTCTGGAAAATATGGCATGTGTACATATGCAGCAGATCACCTGATATGAACTGGCACCAGAGTCATCCAAGACATAAATATTAGGGTGCTGGGTAGGCTTTCATGGCTGCATGATGCTATGGAGACCAGGTGAATGGAGCTGTAGAACTGGGCTGCAAGGTTGGGGTCCCCAGATGAATTGCTTCCAAAAGGTGGTGCAGAGAAGACTGAGGGAAGCTAGCAGAGGATGACACCAGCTGGATGAGAGCCCGTTGGAGAGGCTGTGCCATATATCAGAGATGGTCACGGAGAAGGTCTTGTCTTCAGCCAGGACCACTTTTGATCTCTCCCTCTTTGTGGCTCTGAAAAATGTGCAGATTTTCCAAGGGCAGCCTTGTGGATTGGGACCACTTTCTTGATGACCCAGGTTCTTCCCATTGTCTCTGAGACTGAGAAGCTGCAAATGGAGCACCAGTAGCAACTGCAGCAGCAGCAGGTACTTCTAGGGCCAAATGCAGGGCTGTCAAGAGGAAGTGCTAGGGGCTCTGCCTTTATTCCCTGAAGGATCTAGATCATCGTTGCTCTACTTGAGCTGTCTTGGTGGGAGAAGTTTGCAATTCAAGTGCCTGGACTGCTGATACATTTCTTAAAATTAACTTTGGCACACTGCTCTATTTAAACCTGGTGGAGAGAATTACATCCTCATTGTCTCCTGCAGACTGCCAACTTGCAAATGTGCCCTCTCTGCTGTTCTCACTTCTTGCTTCCATCTTCACTCTGATACCAGAGTGCAGCCACACAGATGGCTATTCCAGCTCTGACCACCCTATCCCTTTTGCTAAATTGCTCTTAGCTGGAAGTGCTCTGTGGGTAGGAAAGGATGCCAGGGGATGGAAGGACCCCTGACCATTAATGACTGTTTTTTTTAAAGGATAGAGATTTTAGGGAGGAACATGATATGAAACTGATAAAATGCAATGCAGCTGTAAAGTGGCCACTGAATTCCTACATACCTGAGAGAAGAGCAAGCCAGCTGCACCTTCTACCACAAGATGGGACAGTGGGGACTGTGGAGGTCAGAGCAGGAGCTCATTGCCTCTGCACATTTTGGTTATTAACTCTGATGTGTGCATATGTTTTTGTATTAACATATTAAATATTTAAAATGGTTCCAACTGAAAGTGTCAAAAAAACAGTCCATGGAAAATGTGTATTATGAAAAAGCTATGTATGGATTTCAAAATGGTTTTTCACCAAAATAAACTGTATTTTAATTGCATTTTTCTGCAAACGTTCTGAAGTAACCTCATAGTTTTCTGTTTCTGTAGCAGGACAGAATGTAGCAACATCTCTAAGCAATCAGAATTCAACCTGTGCAATCTGTTGGCATGCATTGCTAACCCGTGCACAAAAGTAGTTTCCATCTTCCAGGTTGCTGCCATCCAGCCCGGATCCTCTGGTCTCGTGCTCTCCTCATGTCCAGAGCAACCGCACGGATGTTCACAAAAAATAGCTCTCAGATGCTCAGCTCACGGTCTATCATGACTCTTTTCAAGAACAGGAGACACACATGTTTGCTAGGACTGAAATACCCTGGGCTTGGTGTCTATTCCTGTTTACGTCCTGTTGTGCAGGAATGTATTAGGAGTTAAATCATAGGATGGCTAAGCATGGGCAAAAAAAATGCAGTAAAATGCCAGTGAACCTAGAAGACAAGATATGAAGCAATTCTTCATCTTAAAGAGAGAAAAGGGAGAAAAGTTTGAAAGCATAGTGGAAAAGGGCAGCCTAGTCAATGGGAATGAACATTCTTTCTAGAAGCCCAACTGAAAGATTTCACTTGTGTCGGAATTATCTTACTTGATCAGAATGAAGGAACTCACATGATGTCTTTAGTCAATATTAACTAATAACAAGTAAATGACCAGAATGGCTATGAATCATGGTCTCCTTGATGCTGCTGAGTAAAAGGCCACCCATTTTCTATGTAATAGGAACCAAATTAATGTTGCAGTCAGTTGCTCACATCTTATCTCCTAACAGAAACTCAGAATTAGGTAAAGAGATTGAGTTACTGCTTCACACTTCAGCAAAAAGGGAAGAAGAAGAAAGAATGTGAGATATGTCTTATTAGCTGAAGTGTTTTTCCTAGCTATGTTTTTTACAGGAGAAACATGTTTAACCATCAATAAACCATATCCACAGTCTTTGTGAAACTTAAAATAATATATGGACAAGTGCAAAATATAATTTTATTAACCAGATTCTTTTTTCACATACAAACATTCAGTATAAAAAAGTATCCATACCTTCACACATACTGCTCATTTTCAAAAAGACAATTCTAAACTTACTGGCCTTTTTGTCAAAAAATAATCATAATTTATCTGCGTAAGCAAATGGTCTCAAACCACTGTTCTTGCATCTCCTTTAATACTTCTTGTCTGTGTACTCTGTGACGGCAGAACTCACCAGTAACAGGGATACTCCAAAGAAATCATGCTCACAAATATAGTTTTTGGTGGTTGCAGGTGCCCAATTTTCTTTTGTGCTCTGGCTAACTATAGGGAACATCTTGCTTGAAGATCTTATTCCTCCTGACCTTAAATAAAAGCCAAAAAGGTGAGTGGCACTAGGCTTCCTCATTGTACCTCTCTGGTCATATGTCCCATACGGTAACTGTTCATTTTCAAAGTCCTGAGTGAAGTTCTGCCTTAAAGCTGCCATCCCACTGGCCTCCATTCATCAGGACTTGGGGTGGGTGAACATCTTGGAAATCCTTGGCTATCAATTCAGCAGGATGCTGGCAGTTTTATTTGATATTGAAAAAGCAAGGAAAAAGATGTTAGATTTATGTTATCATGGTGGTTGTGAATGTTGCTAATTTATGGGCAGTGCAACTTGATGTCTAAAGCAGACCGTGTAGTGCCTACGAGTGGGCATTCATTGGTAGGCTGGTACAACGACAAGCAAGAGATCAGCTTGCATATCCCACTGTTCATGGATCCACTGTGCATTTCAGGAACAGAAGGGTGAGGTGACCCCCTGGGTGCAGCTCCCAGCACAGCCGATAGAGAGTATACCTGCCGGTGCAGTGTAGTGCCAGACCTGCTCTGCCTGCTGTGCACAAAGATTTGCCCTTGGTAAAGATGGAAAGCATTGCAGACGTCATCTTCCCAAAGCTGTTCCTTGTTTTAGGTAGCCCATGAAAAGTCCACTGACCCCAAACCATCACTAGGAAACTGGTTTCATTACATTCTCCCCAAGGGTTATTTTGTTCAAAATCCCAAGTTTAAGTGAAGAGGAGTCATCTGTCCACACAATGGAGGTAGATAAACTCTTCTTTTTAATCTTGAAGATGGATTTCCTCCGATGTTTGTGAAGCAGCTGTTTCAACTTGTCCTTAAAAACACTGGTGGTGAGAGTGTAGAGGATTGGGTTCAAGGCGCTGTTGACTGGGAGGAAAAATATCACAATCCAGGAAGTGATTGTGCCTGGAGAAGAAAATGAAATGTGAAAAAAAAATAATTAAAGTTTAGGTTTTAAGCAGATGTAAAATATGCACCACACTTTGCAGTCAATGCTACTTTTGGGAGGGCTGCCTGGTACATTGATACTTCCTCTCACCTTATGGGAATCGTTTTGTTGGAAGCCACAGGAGCTATGATTTTAAGGTCCTCCCAATTAACCTTGCTGAGTTCCAGTCACTAATCTGTAGGCTGTGATGAGCCCAAACAAGAGGACATATGTGAGCACACCTTGTAAACTCTAAATTTCTATGTATTTTTCTTGTTTACTTTTATAGAAAAAAATAATAAGGAAATAATAATTATTTTTTTCTTTCAAGATTTATTTATTTGAAAGTCAGAGTTACAGAGAGGGGAGAGAGAGAGAGAGAGAGAGAGATCTTTCATCTGCTGGTTCACCCCCCACCCCCATGGCTATAATAGCTGCAGCCAGGAGCCAAGAGCTTCATCCAATGTGAGTGACAGGGGCCCAAATACTTGGGCCATCATCTGCTGCTTTTCCAGGCACATTATCAAGGGAGCTAGATCAGAAGTGGAGCAGCTGGAGCTTGAACAATCACCCATATGGGATCCTGGCAGTGCAGGCAGCAGCCTATCAGCTATGCCACAATGCCAGCTTGAAATAATTCTTAATAGAATAGAGTTCAGGAAACCTGCTGTCTGGGAGCCAGATCGGACTTTGGTCTTAACTCTGTCCAGTCCTCAAGGTTCCCCTGCTATCCTATTATTGAAATCTGAAGAGCAAAGAGGAATGTATTCTCCAAACTTGGTGGATTCCCTTTTTGTTCAGCCTTATAAATGCTAACAGAATCTTCATGGAAAGAGACCACAGAAGGTTCTCTGTGAGGGGAAATTTGGAATAATAGCATTTGTTCCATTTTAATTAAAAAATACTTATTTATTGAAGGGCAGAGTGACCAGAGAGAGAGAGAGAAAAAGAAAGAGAGAGAGAGTTGAGAGAGAAAGTGGGGGAGAGGGAGAGGAGAGGGAGAGGGAGAGGGAGAGAGAGAGGGAGAGGGAGAGGGGGATAGAGAGAGAGAGAGAGAGAGAGAGAGAGAGAGAGATCCATCCATTGGGTCACTCCCCCAGATGGCTGCAACATCCAGGGTTGAAGCCAGGTGCCCATGAACTTCATGCAAAACTCCCATTTGGATGCAGGGGCCCAAGCACTTGGGTCATCTTCTGCTGCCTTCCCAGGCACATTAGCTGGGAGCTGTATTGGAAGAAGAGCAGCCAGCATTTAAATTTGGCACTCAGATGTACAATGCCTACAGCCATGCCTTAACACACTGTGACACAATGCTGTCCCCAGCATTTGCTCCTTGAGAATGAAATGTATTTCTTCTTCTCAACACGGCCTGGTCTGGTGGGCAGACAACTCCTAGGCACATGGGCAAATCACCATGCTCCCTAGACCGCTCAGAGCTGATCCTCCCTTCCTGGACTGAATCCGGGAGCCAGGCTGGAGTCAGACATGTGAATTCCCATTGCAGCACTGACTCCTGTGATTTTCCAAGCCCTTGGTGCCACACTGCCTCCTCCCTTATCTTCAGAGTTTCAGAGACCTCCCCGCTCAGGTGAAGAGCAGGGTGTTATCTCACTCTTCTGCCTCCTCTATCTTTCTCCACCCTACAATTTTCTTTTCCTTTGACCACTGCTGTTTTGTTCCTCTCTTGACCTTGCTTTGCTTCTCATTTCCCTCTGTTCTTCTGTATCGTTTTCACTTCTCTCCTTATCCAATCTTCTCTCCTGACTCCTTCCTTCTTTCTTCTTCCTGCTTCCTTCTTGGCAACATTTTCCTCTTCTTTCCTCATATCATCCCTTTTTCCTTGTCCTTATTTTTTCTAAATATTTAATTATCTATTTGAAAGGCAAAGTTACACACACACACACACACACACACGGGATGGGGGAAGAGAGAGACAGAGAGAAAGAGAAAGAGAGAGAGAGAGAGAGAGAGAGAGAGAGAAATAGGAAGAGAGAGAGAGAGAGAGCACTTTTCTATCCACTGGTTCACTCTCCAGATGGTCACAGCAGCCAGGGCTGGGCCAGGCTTATGCCAGGAACCTGAAACTCTCTTCAGGTCTCCCATGTGGGTGGCAGGGGCCCAAGTACTTGAGTCACCTTTCCCCTGCTTTCCCAGGCACATTAACAGGGAGCTGGATCAGAATCAGAGCAGCCAGTATTCAAATTTATGCTCATCTGGGATGCCTGCATCGCATGGGATGGCTTAACCTACTGAGCCATAACACCAGGAAAAAAAAGGAAGGAAAAATAAGTCTTTAGTTTAGCTTAGCTTAGATGAATTAAAGTTTCATATTATTTGTCTTCATTTTAAAAATTTAAGTGATCTAGGCATCTCATGATTGGAGAAAAAGTTATTTTGCTTTTGTGTTATGTCCCAAAGGGAAACTTGATCAGTTATATCAGTTATCTCACCTCCATGTGACAGAGAAAGACTTCCTGGCAGTCCTTGCTTTTAGTGAGGCAAAGACAAATAAGCCCCCTAAGTCCACCTGTGAGTTCCATTCGAAATGAGACCTCTTGTTCCACCCTGGGAGAGCCCTAATCTAAGATTAGCAGCTGAGTCCAGAGGCAGGAGGGCTAAGGCCGGCTGTCCTCTTGACTGCACCGGATCCCATCAGTGGCAGGCCATGGCCAACAGGCCCTGCAGTTCTCAGAGGGCAGGGACAGGATGAACTTAGGTCAGTGAATGCAGCATTGTTGCCTGCACACTGTGGGAAGTCAGACCAGCAGGGGAAGGGCTTTGCTGAGAGTGGTAAAGGCACACTGAGGTGCTCTGGCAAACCTCAAAAAGTCTTGAACTATAAGAGGAGAGAAGGATCAGTGGGCAGTCCCGTGAGTTTTATACAAGGCATTTTTTTCCTGTTCTATCTCCCTTTGTTGAGGTGTTTATTAAGCTTGTCATGATATGAACTGAGGATAATAATTACACCTGCTACTGTCTGACACCCTCCATCACCAGACAGTTCCTGATTCTAAATCAGAGAGCCTGGTAGGCTGAACTGTATTTCCTTCCCCTTCCCCCAACCTATCCCATAGTATCTTCTACTATGACTATATTTGGGGATAGGCCTTCAAAGAGGTAAGTTAGGAACGAGGTCATTAGGGTGGGTCCTAGTCCAAGCTGACTGCCAGTCTTTATAGGAGGAGGAAACTTGAAGGCATGAAGAGATACCAGGGATACACACACAGAGGAAAAGTCGTGTGAGGACACAGCAAGAAGGCGGCCATCAGTGAGCCAAGGAGAGTGGCCTCAGGACAGACCAAATCAGTCCACTCCTTGATCTTGGATTTCAGGCTCCAGAGGCGCGAGAAAATAACTTCCTGCAGTACTTTATCATGAAGGTCCTAGCAAACTTATATGTAGAGAAAAAGCCTCAAGAAGTTAACATACAGGAGGTTAGGAAGAGGAGGGACATGTGGATGTTCGGTGTAGCGGTTTAGATCCCAGTTGGGCTACTTGGGTTTAAGTCCTGGTTCTGCACCTGTTTCCAGCTTCTGGCTGAGGTGCACCCTTGGGGGCAGCAATGACAGCTCAAGGAATTGGGTCTGTGATGCTCATGTGGGAGGCCTGGATTGAGTTCCTGGCTTCTGTCTTCAGCATAACTCAACCCCAGCTGCCATAGGCATTTGAAGAATGAACCAGCCAAACTCTATATACCTGTCTTTGTTTTCTGCCTCTCAAATAAAAATAAAGTGGAAGGAACTTGAGACATCTGGCAGAAATGGTGCCAGTGAGGTAAGGTGGGCTCCCTGAGTTCCCTCAGTGGGTCACTGGCAGGGTCAGGACAGGAACCAGGGCATTCTGTTGCTATGCAAGGCTGCCTCCCCTCCCATCTGCAGGAAGGCAGGACATCAGAAGGTGCAGGGACTGGAGCGAGGCAGGTGAGATGAAGCCCAGCCATCCCACTTCTCTTGGACCAGCTCAGCCTCCTTAGTCAATGAGGTGTAGCTCACTTCAGAGCTCACATGGGTTTTGACAGCACTCCCGTGTTCCTGCCCCATGACCGCATCCACCATTATGGCAGAAGCATAGTGGTATTGAATAACACTTCATGAAGAGCTCTGTGGCAAATGCAAAGATGAAGAAAGTATGGTCCTTGCCCCCTTGAAACTTATCATTTGAAGGGATCAATGGACGCCTTCAAAAATAATGCTGGGGGCCTGGCGATTGGCATATTGGTTAACATGAAGCTTGGGACTCCACACCCCATCTTGGAGAGCCCGGGTTTGAGTCTGTGCTCTACCTTCCATTCAGCTGCCACCCTGGGAGGCAGCAGGTGATGGTTCAACTACTTGGGTCCCTGCCACCCATGTGGGAGACCTAAATTGAATTATTGGCTCCTAGTTTTGATCAGGCCTAGCTCTGGCTGTTATAGGCATTTGGGGAGTGAACCAGCAGATCACATCTCTCTTTCTCTCTCTGTCTTTCAAATAAATGAAAATAAGTAAAAAAATGAAAAAAGTAAAATGAGTATCTTTAAAATAATGCTGAGGGGCCAGCCCAATATCACAGTGTGTTAAACTATCACCTGCCGTGCCAACATCACATAGGGGCACTGGTTTGGGTCCTGGCTGGTCTGCTTCTGATCCAGCTCCCTGCTAATGTGCCTGAGAATGAAACAAAAGATGGCTCAAGTAGTTGGGCCACTGCCACCCACAAGAGACCTGATTGAAGCTCCTGGCTCCTGGCTTCAGCCTGGCCCAGCCCCAGCTGTTGCGGTCATTTGTGAAGTGAACAAGCAGATGAAATCTCTCTCTCTCTCTCTCTCTCTCTCTCTCTCTTATTAGCTAACTCTACCTTTCAGCTAAAAAAAATTAAGTCCTTAAAAAATCAAGCAATGTTGATACAAGGCAGCTCGGATGAGGTTAATGACTGAGTTAAGCACCTGGGCTGAAAGAGAGAAGAGTTGAGAGAGGTCTGGACTGCAGCATGGAGGAGGGAGCCTTTGGGGTCTACTCTTGCAGGATTGCACGGGACACAGGCAGAGTCGAAAGTTTAATCCAGGTGGAGGGAACAGTTCCAGCAAAAGCTGATGTCTTATCAGAAGAGTGCAGAGGAAAAGCCCAGTAATTCCAATGGGCCTGGATCATGGAGTATAGGAGGGTGGGGTGGGAGTTATGAAACATGAAAATGCTAATCCCAGTATCTGGACTTGATCCATGAGAAATGGAGGCCAATGGCCATTTTGGCCCTGTTGAATTGGAAATGATAGGACATAAAAATTGGGATGTCCAGGTAGCTGTAACAGATTGGAGACTATTCAAGTAAACATCTGTAGCCAGTAATACAGAGTTGATTTGCTCCTCGTGTACAACTGACTCTCCCTGAATGATATCACACAGTCTTCTATGATTTCTCTCCTCCCCGCCCAGCAGGGGCTTCCAAGTCTTCAGCCCTCCTCTCCCTGCTGCGTTTCATTTCCACATCTCACATGGCCGAGTGACATACACGGCTGGTTGTGGAGAAGAAGTCTATGGTTAGGAGACCGCCACGGGTGCTGGGTGGCATTCTGCAGCACAACGTGGGGCAAGGCCTCACATGACTGTGCACAAGCCATAGGCACAGAGACAGTGCAGCTGTGGGTCTTTTGTGCGCTCATCACTTTCATTAGGGTGCTGTGTGACAGTGGGGCACCGAGATGAGTAAGACATAATCCCTGCCTTGGGTCAAGCTGCAACAGTGAGCCGAAGATGATGCCAGCTGTTTCACCGAGAATCTGGGTAAAGCCCTGGAGGACTTCTAAACGGCTGTCATCTCTAAATCCCAGAAAGGGCTTTCAGTGAACTCCTAACCAATGAAAGGTGAATTTCTCTGGCTGAAGTGGGCCAGGAGCCTGGCCTTTGGGATGATGTGCTTGCCTGGAACATCCGCACTCCCTGGAGCCACAGTGACATCATGTGGGTTGCACTATGGGATAGGCTGGCTGGTCTACCAGGTGAGAGTGCATGAGAATCACAAAGAGGGGTATGGGGAAACACCTATGCACAAGCCTTAGCCCCCAGACACTAACTCCAGAGGCTAGGAACCTGGAGAACCTGGTCATGTATATTTTGATTCTTTAAAAAATGGGTGCTCATGGTTAAGAACAACTACCTAATTCATGTAGACCCAAGATGCTCTGGCTTAGTTTCTCTCTAGCTTTGGCTTTTTTTTTTAATTAAAACAATTTTTTTTTATTCTTGGCTGGATTGCACTACTACCCTGTTGCACTGCTATCTCAGAATATCAATTATAAAGCCCTGGAGGGAAATAATAACTTTTGCATTGCTGCTGTGGGCATTTGTGGAGGATTTACTATGTGTCCGTGGTTCTGGCCTCATCAAAGGGCATAAGGAAGGTACATTGTAGGTGGGAATGATAGAACGGACTGACCTGGTATTTCCACCTGGAAGAGGGAAAGGATTTTAACGACAAACACAGGAATCCAGCAGATGGCATCAGAGAACACTATAAAAAAGAAACGATTTGCCACAGCCACCTCTCTTCCAAGGTGAGTTCTCACTTCCGAGGTCTGCAAGGTGGTTTTTTGAATGGAACAGAACATAGTAACATAGGAAAACGCAATGATGAGAAAAGCCAGCAAGTTCACACCTGTTGGGAGAAGCACACCTCTTAACATCTCAGGCATTTGTATGGTGCCTCCCTCCTACCCTGGTAGTTCTGAGAAGCTGTCTTTTGAATAAGCCCAGTGGAATTCTGCTAAAATTCCCTCATTCGAGGAAATAAGATAAAGGAATTGGGTTTTCCAGATCAAAAGGAGATTTCAAATACATAAACCTTTTACGAAGAATTACAGGCTTCTGAATTCTGAGGTTGGTATCTGATGAAGTAAACACTAGCTTTTTTAAAGCATGAAGAAAGCTCTTTTTGTTTCTAGCTCTCTGCAAATTCAGACCTACAGGGAATCCTGTAGTCATATACATGTCTCAACAAATAAATCCAACTCCATTTCCTTATCTCATAAATATGAATAAGATAACCTTGGAATTTATCATAAACATAATTGCGTTTCTACGCAACAGTCTTGGTCTTAAATAAAAATAATACATAGAACAAAAGACCTTTTGTTTATGTTTCTTTAGTGTGACTTGGAAACCTTAGAAATACAGAAGACTTAAAAACGCAACAAGATGAATCACTCTCTTTAGGCCAAATGCATTCATGAGATTTTCACGTAACATCACCATCCCCTAAAATACTGACTTCCCAGTCACTTCATTTGCTTTATTCTTGCTGTAATAAATTTGAAGTGTGATCGTTCGCATTCTCAATTCCCGCAATTCGCACATATTTTCAAAGTTGTTTAAAAATGTTCATTTGAATGTGGACTGTATGTAACACTGGTGAGGTCTAGCGTAATACTTCAAGTTCAAGATACCTGCTCTTTTTATCCAAAGCACTTTATATTCCACAGAATCTTACCATAAGCTATATAATAGGATTATATAAAATTGGATCAAATTTGCTTGTCTTAGTTCTTTTGTCAGACAGTGTAGATAAACATAAAATGACTCTTCTAGAGGATACTTCCCTAGCCCCAGTTTTGAAAACAGATTTATGGAAAGGCTTAAAAGCATAATGTAAATGCATTACGGTAGCGTAAAGTGTAAAAGACAAGGGAAACAAGGTGGGGTGTATATGGAAACTTGTACTACCTGCAACTTTTCTCTAAAACTATTTGACAATTTAAAAATTAGCTAAAATCGTTCAAGATCCAGCTACTCCACTTCAAATCCAGCTTCCTGCTAATGTGCCTAGGAAGGCAGCAGCGAGTGACCCAAGTACTTGGGTCTGTCACCCACATGGGTGACCTGGATGGAGTTCTTTTTTTTTTTTTTAATGTATTCATTTATTTGAAAGGCAAAGTTACAGACAGCGAGAGAGACAGAGAGAAAGGCCTTCCATCCACTGGTTCACTCCCCAAATGGTTGCAATGGCTGGAGCTGAGATGATCTGGAGCCAGGAGCCAGGAGTTTCTTCTGGGTCTCCCATATGGATGTAGGGGCCCAAGCACTTGGGCTATCTTCCAGCACTTTCCCAGATCATAAGCAGAGGGCTGGACTGGAACAGGAGCAGCCAGGACATGAACCGGGGGCCATATAGATGCTGACATCACAGGCAGAGGCTTAGCCTACTACGCCATAATACTGGCCCTTGGATGGAGTTCTTGACTCCTGATTACAGCCTGGCCCAGCCCTGGCTGCTGTGGACATTTTGGGGATTGAATCAGTGGATGAAAGATCTCTCTCTCGCTCACTCGCCCTCATTGTCTCATCTCTTCTTCTCTGTCACTCTGCCTTTGATATAAAGAAATAAGAAAAAAGAAAAGCACGTACTTTATCTGGAGATCTAGAGCTCTGAAGTCCTCTCACAGGCAAACTGATGATGACGATGATGCGAGGGTGTGTGCGTGCGTTACTGTCTGCTTATGTATCTGGAATACATCACAGGTGCTTAATCCTTTCTAGCTGACCTCTTTGCCTTCATTGTAAGATCCAGCCACAGGGAACTTCCTGAGCCCTACATCTGGACCTATTCCCTGGCATGGGGCCCCTGCATCCCTGTGTCTTTTCCTGGAACCCAGCCCCTGTTCCTCCTCTGATCTCACTTGGCTGATGCCGCTTCATCTTTTGGGCCCCTGATTGGACTCATTTCTACTGGGAAGCCTTCCCTTGTCCTTGGATCTGGGGTTTCTAGAACATCCTGTACTCTTCTCTCATGGCATTTATCAGCCTGTGACGAAGGATGTGTTTACTTCTCTGCCTCCTCCTCTCTGACCTGTAAGGACCAGACCTGCTATATATTTCCAGTTTCCAGTAGAGTGCACAGACCATAGTAGGTGCTAAATAAATCCTCACAAACTCAATTTGCAGTGTGTGTGTGTGTGTGTGTGTGTACTATGTGCACCCTTGTGTTAGGAGCAAGAAGCAAATGAGTCATGAAGAAATGTAAGGAATGGTTTGCTCTATCCTAGGAGTGAGATGCCATGAACAACTGCAACCAAACATGGAAGTGTATGAAGAATATTATTAAAACAAGGCAAACTAAACATGTTGCTTGTCAGAGGAGGAAGAGAAGGAATGGATGGAGAAGAGTTGGGTAGGATAGTTAGGGTCATTTCAAGACGAGTTATAAGTGACTATTTAAACTTGATCTTGCAAATGGTAGGGGCAATAGTGGAGCAGAGACAGAACACTGCCCTTCTGAAACTCAGGGAGATTATGGAGTGATCACGAACAGAGGTCGAAAGACCAGTAAGGGCTCAGGCAGTAACTCAGGGTCGGGCTAGACAGACTTTCAACCAAGGCGACAGCCAATGGCAGAGACGGAAAAGGAGAAAAGGCAGAAGAGTGTTTTGATGACAAATATCTGAGGCCCCAAAAATGACAATGCAGATTGCTAACTGCAAGAAAGAGAAGACAAAACAAGAAGTGGGAGTCTAAAGATAACAGTGCCTTAGTTAAAGAGGGGACCTGGAAATAGACTTAATTCTAAGCAGAACTCATATGTCATGGACAACAGTTATTTTCTTTTTTTAACTTTAAAAGACTAAATTTGGTACTTATTTGTAACAGAGAATGTAGGGATTTTTCTAAAAAATTAGGGGCAATTAAGAAAACTGAAAAGAAAATAGCTTCATGAAGCATCCTTACAACTGCTGATTCAAGAGCTGTATTTACCAAGGATATCACTCTTCTGGTATTTCCATTTAGATGACCTCTGTGAGTGAGTCTCCAATGCTGTTTTTATTTCTTTAAATCGTCACTAGATTGTAAAAAATAAATGGGTTCAAATAACTTGGTAGAGATACCGGACTAGGCACTAACAGAGAATTCTTCCAGCTCATAGTCACTGTAGGTGAACATGAAATCAAAGGAATTTAGGGCTAATAAAAAGATCATCCAGGGATTCTAAGTGTATGTTGCCGTTTTCCACACTAAATCTGTACAACAAAAGCTTTAGAAGCGCTTCTGAAAATACACAGCAGAGATTTTTCTGTAAAGAGGACCCCATCTGGACAACCAGTTTACTTTCTGAAGGAGACAATTCCACTTTGGCTGAAATTTACGGCATTTATATCACAATTGTGTTTTTCCAGGAAATAAAAAAAATGTAATTTACCTAGAAAAATTCCAAGAGAATACACTTTGCTTCCAATATCTTCTGTTTGGTCATGATAAAGTGGAAAACACACTCCATTTTGCCCATAAAAGTTTCCAAAATAATCCTCATCCCAAAAAGGAATCGCGGCTATCAGAAACCCCACCAGCCAGATGCAGCCGAGGCTGAGCGAAGTCTGCCGTCTTCCGGGGCGAACGTTACTGAAGGGGAACACGATGACCAGGAACTTCTCCAGAGTCAGGTAGGTCAGCAGGAGGACAGAGACTTCGGTAGACAGCATGGCCAGGAAGCCCATGAGGCGGCATTGTACGCTCTCCATCCACAGCAGGGCATACTTCTGATACTGTCCTCGGTATCTCATATCAAAAAAGCCAATGAAAAGCAGGTAGACACCCATCAAGCAGTCGGCACCTGTGAAGGAATTGACACAAGGGATGTTGGTGGCCCCAGCATCTCTGGAGTTAGTTTTTTTGATTAGGAATCATTTCTTCAGCATGTATGGAATGAAGTAATGGAAACACCTGCTAGAATACCAAGAAGCCATTGAACTTCAAAATCTGTACTGCTTCTAAGGTATCACACTATGTCTGTTCCACAGCTAAAAGATAGAAGAGGACATTTGAGGATGGGGAGCTTTTAAGCAGAAAACATGTATTTCTGCTAGTTTAAAAGAGGAAAACAAGTAGTTCTTGCATAATTAATAAAGAGAATCATTTCCCATGTTGAGGAACGTGGGTGTTAATGGAATTGAAATTAATGAAGCTTAGTTTTATAATCCACAAACTTTTCTTCATGTTCTGTCACCTGATTCATCACCCTTGGATCCCATTTCCAAGAGTCAACCCCCAGAAGTAGGTCATGGTAAGGTCCTGTCACCTAACACAGAGCTGCTAAGAGCAGTACTTTTGTGTTTAGAAAACAAAACCTTTCCCAGCGTGGCACCTGTAATTCACATTAAATGCCATTTTTGACATATACATGCCAACAACTTATATATCTAGTGTGTAGCTCCCAGAAGGTGCTCTAAATCTACTGAGGTAGGAAACATACTTACAACAAAGGACTTTGATGGACAGGGCGTGAGTTGTATTTTCGGCTTTAATGAAAGATCTCATGCCAATGACAAAAAGATTTCCAAAGCAGGTAATGAAAGCTATAACCCAGACAAACACTCTGAGGATATTGTTAGCCAAGAGGTCCTCAAATGAAGAAATGCCGTCAGTCGAGGGCATACATATTCGGACATGGGGAGCATAGGAGCAGTATCGAAAGTTTTTGAAATAACTAAAGTCAAAGGGAAAAAAAGAGTCACTTGCCAGTAATGATAGAGAAATTACAGTTGCAGTGCCATCAAGGGGTACCGGTCTATGTTAGGTATGCAACTTTGCTAGGTTGGTTTAGTAGTGATTATGTAACTTGAGGCTTCTTCATTAAACAATATGCTACCTCACTACTGTTCTTCAAAAGATGAGGCATCTCAAGGGCATAGAATTTTGGTGGCTTGGCCCAGGACAGTCAGGGGGAGGACATGGGACAAAGTCTTAGGGGCCCTAGGATTTCCTCTGGTCACATGAGGCTATTCTTTAGGACATTATAAGAAGAGGGCTATCATTGTTAAATGAATCTCTTAGGTAAGAGTTGGGGCTTGGGTTCGGGATACAGGAAACCTGCCTGCTGTAGTCACTAAACTCATTCTTGCTCTTATCTTTAAACTCTGAAGTCTCCCCACTTCAGCCTCCTTTTCCTGGACGCTGGCAGGAAAGGAATGCCTCTGAGACTAGGAAAAGTCTGTCTCCCTGGAGCTGGCAGAATTATTTGCCTTAAACACAGGTTTCTTACCAGGTCTTGACTGACTTAAACAATTTGTAGAGGAAAACAAATTGGTCAGTGTGTTTATGTTCTGAGTACAGGAATCTCAGGTGTTGGAATTGGTGAGGCCATTTGGCTAATGGCCAGATCCCAAACCCAGGCATGCAGGATTTTCTCCCATAACAGTCATTATGTTTTTATTATTTCATACCTCTATATGTTCATTTCTCTGCTCTATTCTCTCAATCTGGTTTTTTTTTTGTTCATTTGTTTTTGTTTTTCCATCTGCCAATTCAGTTTCTAGACCAGCAAGTTAAACAAAGCTTTGCTTGCCACAGTCTCAGGACTCTCTGTGATTGGACTCTGGGCTGCCTAAGCCTCCTGGCCTCCTTGCCTTCATCATACACTCTACCCAGACACATGGGCCACTTTCCATTTCCCGCACCAGCCAGAAGCATGCCCTTAGGGCCTTACTTTTGCTTTTGCCTCTGCCTGGAGGATTCTTACCCCACATATTACCAAGGCTGCTCCCTGCCTGCCACCCAGGTCTGCTTTCCATCTAACCATCTAAACCGTCCTTCTAGTTCCTTATCTTGCTTTATTTGTCTTCATAGAATTTATTAACTATTTATTAGCTTCATAGAATTTATTAACTAGTTACTTGCTGGTTCTCAAAGCTCAGTGGAAGCTCCATGGGACAAACATTCTCTCTTTTGCTCACCACTGTGTTCTCAGCATCTGAAACAAACAGTTCCTGGCCCATAGAAGGTACTCAACAAATATTTCTTTGATAGTAAGATGATGATGCATGAGTCAGTGCTGAGTGTGTCAGTTAGGGAGACAGAGGTAATCCCTGCCCTGTAGTAGCTTTCAGTAAAACATCCTAATATCTGGCATACAATTAAAGGAATTTGACATAAAATGATCTTGGTTTCTTCTCCTTCCCTGGAGCCCCTGGAACACACTTCACTTGGCCTCTTGGTTCTTTAGGGGTTGCATTATTTCCACTGTCTTCAGGAGAGCCACCTAGGGTCTCTCTCCTTCCACTGTGACCATACTACAGTTGGCAGGTGGAAGGGATGGAGGTGATGAGGTGAGCTGTTTCAATAAGTGAAGGATGAGGAAAATTAAAGAGAATAAAAAGATTATTTATTAGGGAAGTAACTAAGCTAACGTGTTTTGTTCATCATTGGGACCTTCTTGACCTTGACCTAAGGTCCATATTTAAGACAGCAGCTTCTCTATAAAGTTCTAAGAATAGACTTGCTCTATTCTATGCAGACCTCACATTCTGCCTACAATAAAGAAACAATAGCCTTATGAACTATTTATCTAAAAGTGCCACAGAAAAAGAAATTAACCAAACCATGTGGATATGAATTGAACACGTGTCTTTTAGTAATCACACCTGCTGCACAGACATAAACAAATGTTCTCCCAAAAGAGCACCTTCATATCAACTCTTTCATCCATTTGCTGCACCCAACTTGTAATCTTACATCGAATCCTCCCTATTTTTGTGGACAACAATGGTTAATTTTTGAAATCATGACACATAGTTTATACATTTGATAAAGAAATGATCATGTTATAAACACATATATTAACACAACTTACACAGTGCACTTTATATTAAAGTGACTTATCAAAAACTACTATAAAGATTAATTACCTCCATTTTGTAGTGCACTTAGTAACAGTAACAACACCTGGAATTTATATAGCACCTTTCTTCCTAAGGGCTCAAATCTTAGAGCAGCCGACTGCTCATTCATGTGAAGTGAATTAATGTTTCCAGGTCTCGTGAGTACCATTTAGCCAGTGACTTCATCTTGTGTAATATGTGGCATTCTGGTACCCTGATCTCATTTTGGGCCTCAATTGGATAAACATCGTGTTTCCAGGGAGAAGGGTCATTCATGTCGGCACATCATAATATTGAACTCTATTTGACAGGGACCAAAGGTGACAAAATTAAAAAGTTCTCAATAAAAAGACTTTTGTTGCATAAAAACACATTGCAGTGATACATTATACAGTTCACATGAGAGCACTGGAAACATTCCCATGCTCTCTTCTCCATTTCATACATACATACATGTGAGAAAGATTCTTCATGGGTTGAAACATGCGTGTGTTTATATTTGGAATCTCTATCCTTTCCAGGTCTCTGGAAAACATGTACAATAGGTTTAATGTTTTTAAGGTCAAACTTTTAAAAAGTTTGTCTTCATAGAATTTATTAACTATTTATTAGCTTATTAGTTTGGAAGGGAGAAGAAAAGAGAAAGAGACACGGATAATGGGGGTAAGAAGAGGAGGGTTAGGGGAAAGAGAGAGACTTTCTACCCACTAGTTCATTCCCCAAATGCCTGCAACAGCCAACAGGGCTATGCCAAGCTGAAGCCAGAGTTTGGAACTCAATCTGAGTCTCCTGGGTGGCAGGATCTCAAGCACTTGGGCCGTTCACCTGCTGCCTCCCACTGTGCATAAGCAGAAGGATGGATTGGAAGTGGAGCCAGGACTCAAACCTAGGGACTCTTATATGGGATGCAAACACGATAAGCTGTGGCAAATGCTCCCTCTACCCCTTTAAAACAAATGTCTCAATTATTCTATAAATAATGAAAGCTGTGGGATCTTTGACTAAACATGGTTTCTTTTTTTAAAAAAAAATTTGAAACACACACAGAGAGAGAGAGAGAGAGAGAGAGAAACAGAGAGAGAGAGAAACAGAGAGAGAGAAACAGAGATCTCCCATCCATTGGTTTATTCCCCAAATGCCCACAACAACCAACACTGGGCTAGGTGAAGTCAAGATCCAGGAGCTCAACCCAGGCACCCAACTACTTGAGCCATTACTTTTGCCTTTTAGGATAAACCCTGGGGGAAATCTTTTTTAATAATTGCATTCTTTGGGGGCCGGTGCTGTGGCACAGTGGGTTAACGCCCTGGCCTGAAGCGTCGGCATCCCATATGGGCGCCTGTTCTAGTCCTGGCTGCTCCTCTTCTGATCCAGCTCTCTGCTATGGCCTAGGAAAGCAGCAGAGAATGGCCCAAGTCCTTGGGCCCCTGTACCCATGTAAGAGATCCGGAAGAAGCTGCTGGCTTCTGATCAGTGTAGCTCCGGCCATTGCGGCCAATTAGGGAATGAACCTTCGGATGGAAGACCTCTCTCTCTCTCTCTGCCTCTCCTTCTCTCTCTGTGTAACTCTGACTTTCAAATAAATAAATAAATCTTAAAAAATTGCATTCTTTGTTATAGGGTGATTATTTTTTAAAGATTATTATGCATTATTTGTTATATACCAAATACAGTGATTCAAAATCTTATGGTACCAGTTTCAACTGGGATGAGGATTTTATATGATGTGCTACTTTAGAAAACTGACATATTGACATTTCTCTTCACATGTCCAGCAAGTTGGGGCTGATTTTGTCACTTTACATGCAGAATTATGTCCTAATACTGCATTTTCATTCATTTTTTGATTTAAAAATGGCAATGGTGATTTGTGTGATTATGAGTTTCATCTTACAAATAACATGGTAGTTAGAGGATTTCCTCTAGTAGCTGAACTTCTAACCTGAGTGCATCACTAAAGTGAGTTTTGTGAAAATCTGAATTTAAGTGTTGTCATTTTTTTCTTGCCAATAGGTCTTTTTTTTTGTCTTTAAGATTTTTATGGTAGAAAATATGAAGGTAGCCAAGACTGGCTTCAATTCAGGACAATCACTATCTATGACAACTGTAGGAAGTGTAATTCTTTTAATTCCTCCAGACCCCTTAAGATATCATCAGAGAGCTCCAGCAATCATTTCCACTCTCTAATTTATCCAGAATTATTTACAAATGTAGATACTTTGAAGACCTCTCTAGGACGGTGTGAATTAAGAGCTGCTACAAAAGGAAATGAATAGGGAGGGGACAATCTAATAACAATGTTTTCTGGTTTTAATGTTTGTCGTGAAAGATGCTGGATTACCATTTGGCTATCCTGAACAGGGTTTCTGAGCCTAGTTCTGAGTTTGCCTGTGCCCAGTGGGTCCTTTCTCGAGGAAACATAGAAGTAGAAGTCAGAAATGAAGCTTGGGGGAGCTGTTACACTGCTGATTCATCAAGTCCCCTGCAGCAGAAAAGCTGCGAACCTTTTTAAAGGTTTTTCCCTTCTTTGCTCTCTTGTTCTCTTCTGGATGCATTAAAATCTTAGCTTTACAGGGGCCCTGTGATTCTTTCATTAATACTTTATAGTGTCTTAAAGAGCAGAGGCTATACATTCTGAGTACTTAAGACCATGTGATGCATAATTTGGAGGTCAATAAATGGTTTGGAAATGAATTTGTAAATGTATCTTAGGAAAAACACATGAGATAGTTAGGAAAAGGAAGAAATAAAGGAAGAAACTCATGGAGTGAACAGTTACTACATTGACTTTCAAAAGGGTGTTACATAATGCCTTGGTATTTTGGTTTTCAGAAATGCAATATGTGGTGAGTGAAGGGAAGAGTATGTTGTCTACATCCTGAGGTCTCTGCTTATATTTAAAAACAATGGGATGAATATCTATCTATCTATCTATCTATCTATCTATCTATCTATCATCTATCTATCTAGATTGTAGCTTCTTACCAGCAGGGACCAAAGCTATGCCATCAGTGAATGTCCACTAATACCTGTTGAGTGAGAACCTAAATTTTACATTAATTTCCAATGGAAAACCATTTAGCAAGAATACATAGTGTTATTATACATTTGTCCTTAGCATTAAATGAAGAAATACTGAGTTTAGATAATGTGGGAAATGTAGTATGCTGAGCTAAAACAAATAAGCCAAGGAACTTGAGCCAACAGTTGCCATCCATGGGTAAAAGATCATGAAGTTCAAAAGATGCCAGCAGAATTCTTAGCATCATTGGAATCTATTATAATATGGCTAAAATTTTAAAATACTAACCAACATTAATTATTTGAATGTTCATATTTGTGGGATATATTTTTCCTTACTTACTGAAAAATAAAAACACACACTGTTGTCCAATATCAGACAGTTTCTTGTAGGAAAGGGGAAAATGGAAAAAGGAAGCAAGTCTTTTATATAATTTTTTTTACCAAACTTTCAGTAGCAATATTATTGCAAATGTAATTCTTTGTTAAAATTGTGGGATGAGATTTTTCCACTTGAGCCCAGTTTTCAGGAAGGGATGATTTGTGTCTTCCAACTCTGAAACGACCTTTACAAGTGGTGAATGGCAAAAAAGGAGGCATTGCTGTTATTCACACATACTTGACATCACAGTGATACTCAAGGCCATCTGATAGTGCACACTCCTGTGTGTAAAATACCCATTCAAAACAGGTGGGTCTCTAAGTAAAGCATGTCCACTGCCATTGCAATCAACACAATGTAATATTTTACTTACAGAGACTGAAGTTGTTTAAGACTTTCAAACTGGTTCTTGTGGAGATACAAAAGAGGATTGGATGACAGGTTCCTTTTTTACCACCAGAGGGAAGGGGGAAAAGCATGAGGATGTTATTATTTCCAAAGGTTAAGATGTTGTCATTTAAATCGCATGATGGTGAGAAGAACTTACAGTTTCTGTAGAAGCTTCAGGTCTTTCAAAAGGTGAGGTGGCAGCTCTGTTATCTTATTGCTAGACAGATCCCTGTTGGTGACAGAAAACCCAAAGCAATTACATTGGAACTAAGTGACCTCGTTATTACTCTTCATAGTTATCATCATCCTATTTGATGTAACAGAAAATATGAATCCAATTTAACCAACCTGATAACTTGTTACACAACAAGGTCATGTGAGCCAGCCAAATGGGTATGTTTTCCATCACTTACAGACATGTGACATTTTGTTCATCCAGTTCCTGTCTGGAATTTCCTTTCACCCCCTGTCCAACACATCCTGGCTTTTGTATCTACTTTGATTAATTTCCTCTGTTTTAGGTACTCTTTGTACACTTCTATCATTCAAACTTCTGTGATTCCTACCCACTTCATGTATGTGATCTCTGGTTTAGCCAACTAAACTTAGGAGGTCAAGACTTGGGTCTTTTATTTCTTTGGCATCCCAACTAAGATAACTTTGGTCACTCAGCATCCGCCCAGACAATCTTGCACAGACAGCTCTACATATTTTCAAAATATTCTTATATAGAACTACACCTGGAGAAGAAATTGTAAATTTAGAATTACACATGATAGGAGGGTCCCACACAGAAAGAAGACCGAGGAAGGGACTCTACAGAATGGAAAACAGATTTCTGAGGATCAGAAGAAATCTAGAATCTTCAAGAGTCCCAGATATACTTCTGTGCCAAAAAAAGATATTAAAGATAAAAACAAATGAATAACTAAGAGTCAAATAAAATATCTTATTAATTTTTGATCCCCTGGAGCTTCTGGTGGTATGTAAGGATTACATGTAACTAAGGCTCACCTGTTTTTCTAAAGAAGCTTCCATTTACAGTGACCAGTAAACTATAAAGCAAGGAAAGAATGAAACTGGTATGCTTACAGAGTATGGAGAAAACACAGAGGAAGGAGGCACCTGTCTTGTCCTGGGAAATTAGTGTTTGGACAAAGTTCTATGATTTTAGGAGGGGTAAGAGAAGAGCAGTTTATAGCACAGTCAGTGACCCAGCCACTTGAAGTCAGGGGCATCTTCAGGGGTTAGCATGCGGTGCAGTGTGGTGGAAGACAGGAGGTTTAGGGAGGAGCTGAGGTACTGATCTCAGAAAAGCACATGGAGATAAGAGTGGGGCCATTGTCTACCCAAGGCACTCTTCCCCAGGATACAACTTGGGAATCAGAATCCCAAGGATGCTTTACTAAGGTGCATTTTTCTGCTGTCCACCTCAGGACTACCACAGCAGAATCTCTGGGAGGCATCCCGGTAACATGCATCTAAATCAAAATTCTCTGTGACTTTTCTGCAGATTAACATTTGAGAACTGTGTCAAGGTCTTTGCTAAACAGCAGGCAACAGGACATTAAGTAGCACAGTGGCATAATGTGGGATAATTCTGCCAGAAGAAGTATGGAAGACAGATAGGGAAGCCTGAGAGCTGGTGGAGGGAGACCAGGCAGGAGGCTTCCCATGGACAAGGAGGGAGCCCACAGCCTTGTTGGGAGCGAGGGAACAACGTTCAGGCCTGGCTGCCAGGAAGGGCAGTGACGCCATCGGGACGGTGAGTTGAAGGGAAGGAGCTGGTGACAGGGTGGGGGTTCCCTGTTGGTTTAATTTTAAACAGGTGGCTTTTAGGGTGCTGTCCTGACATCCGAGAGGGAGGTCCTGATGGCTGGAAATGATGCTCTGGTGCCCCGGATGGCAGGGACACACGTAGGTCGCAGCCCACAAGGAAGGCCACAGGTGTGCGTGAGGCACAGGTGTGCCAGACAGAGCCTAGCAGCAGAGCCACATGACGATCATGCCAATCTCCTACACCAAGAAAATGTCCTTCAATGTGGAACACAGAAAAGCCATCTTCTGGGGGAACTTCAGGGGCCTCATGTACCTGTGCGTGTTCCTCCCCAGCATGAGTTTGCTGTCATAGAGGAGCAGTGAAATGTTCTAACTCTTGTAAACTCAAGATGTAGGAATGCCTTGTTCAAGTCAAGTCTATCAACTTCTGAATTCCTTAGCTTTCTGACCCTGGACTGGAAGGGATTATTAGCGATCTTACAAGTGGATTTTGCTTTGGCTTGTTTTGTTTTTGGTGTGGTTCTTCTATGCGTAAGATGAGAAGAGGATTAGAAAAATTCTCAAAATGTAGACTCCATACCACTATTTCTTTCAGTTTATATGTATAAAATAGGCCCCTGTTTGTCCCAGGCTGCTACCCCACTTCACACTGTAATATAAGTTCATGTCCGTCTTCCAGAGTCTGGCCATGAACACTCCTGAGAGAAAGTCTCTTCTGAGTGAGCTGTCTTTAAATTTGCCATAAAATGAAAATATTTTTAGTTCTAATGCAGTATGTCACACATACGAGGCACTTAATTCATGTCAACCTCTGTGGATTTGATTTATGATGGTTATTAGATTAAATTATCTTAAGTATTCATGAATTATTTTAAAATTTACTTCTACTTATTTATTTTCCCCAGTCCTTCCTGGGGAAAGGTACAAAGAATGGGGGGGCCAGTCAGTTAGGAAGTTAACTGTCACTTTAAGGCCTCTATCAGAGGAGTTCTTTCCCTTAATTGCCACTATTTGTAATATGACAGACTTAATTTTAACATCCAATTATACACAATTATGTGGGGAGCAATGAATTTATAATAAGACCAGTACTTTTCTACAGATTAGATCCTTGAAAAATACAGAGTTACATGTGTTTTGTGAATACTTTTTAAGGAGCCTAATCCTCAATCTAGGCATATGTGTTTGCTTCACCTGTGATAAGAAGTGTAATTTTTCAAAGGATAATAAGCATTTTTACTTAGTTATAATTTTCATTTCAGTCAATCAGTTATTCATTCAGCAAATATTTACTGATAATCAAGTATACTCCAGGTATAGGAGATAAATGAGCCTTGTGTTTTAAGAAGCTATGGAAAGGCAATTTACTTTCACACACACAGATCACCCCCCCCCCCACAATAATAAAACTTTGGTAGGTTAAATCCATATTAAGCCCACTGTTTGATTTTAATGTGCTTTTGACTTTAGGATAATGCTGGCTTTCTTATTGATTATGTATTGTTTTGAAAGGCAGAGTGACAAAGAGAAAGGGAGGGAAAGAGAAAGGGGGAGAGGTGGGGAGAAGGGGAGAGAACAAAGTGTAGGAACAGAGAAAGAGAAAGAGAGAGATCGATCTTCCATCTGCTGGTTCACTTCCCAGATGACTGCAACAGCCAGACCTGGGCCAGGCCAAAGCTAGAAGCCAGGAACTCCATCCTGGTCTCCCACATGGGTGGCAGGGACCCAAACACTTTGGCCATCTTCCGCTGCCTTCCCAGGCACATCAGCAGGGAGCTGGATTGGGAACGGAGTAGCCAGGACTTGAACCAGCAATCTGCCGATAAGGGATGCTGGTGTTGCAAGTGGTGGCTTAGTCCGCTTTGCCACAACTCTGGCCCCCTTAATTGATTTTTAACATCCAGCAGTTTGCAGGATTTTGATTGCTACTAGTGGAAGAGCAGTCTCCCTAGCCATTCAAATTTATAATCTTGGAAGAAGCAATCATATTCTTCCTAGTAGACGATGCTACTTACAGTTCTCCTAAATTTTTTAATGAAGAAAATGTCTTCTCTGGAACAAAATCAATTTGATTTCTAGGCAGAAACCTGTAAGACATGGCGAGAGTCAGCACTGTGGGTTTGCGTCTGCTGTAATAATCAGTTCTCACTGAGAGATGCCACGGATGCGGCAGTAACTGAAGAAGCCTCCTTCGAAGTCTCAAAGGGAAGCGCTTTCTCGTGTGCAACCTAAGGCAGGAGTTTCGCACCGAGGACACGCGTGTGTTCTCTCCGGGAAGTTGCCACGAGCAACTGGAGGTGCTGAGTGTGGCCTAAAAAGCTGTGCTTTGTTCAGATTTGGATTATTTTAGCAGTGTCTTTTTCTAATTTTTCTTTTCCATTCTGTTTTCCAATCACCCATCCAATCAACAGACATTACCAAGAGTTTATTATCTATGGAAAACTGTCGATAAAAAAACAGAAACACATACTTGCATTTTTAAGCTTGCCATGGCCAAATGCGCCCAATGACCAATCCAGCTGCCTTCCCGCCCCCATAAACAGCATACTCAGTGCTAAGGAAGCAGCATCTTTAGATGTTCCTCTAATTTGAATAAAATCATGTTTTTTTTTTTTTTTCTTTAGGGAGAGAGCCATCAAGTGGTCATATACATTGGCAGTCCCAGCTGGTTATTGGAGAGCTAACTACTTGCATTTACATGGTCTTATAGAATTGGTGACCATAGGGTTAGGAGACTGGAACTTACAGGCATCAGTTCAACTGAGAGGATGCACAGAAATGGTGACTGCTCTAGAAACAGGGCGACCAGCTGGAGACCTAAACCACAGGCAGTTTAAGGCTTAGTCCCCCACCCCTCCATACCAGTCACTCAGTGTGTACCTTTTCTAGCATTGCAGTTTCAGGCCAAGGTCCTAAACAAAGCACTACTTTGAAATTCTTTGCCAAAGTTTCTTCAATTTCCAAATCTATAGGTTTTCTGCCCGTTGACTGAAATTCATGTGTACTTACAGCACTGTGAGTGAACTGCACGACAGGAAGGTGGAATTTCTGAGCCGTTTTATTCGATTGCCTTCCAGGTCCCTGGAAGTCATGGAGGGAAAATATTTTTAATATTTTGTATAGGCTGTTTGCTCAGAGATACTTTTCATTGATGATAACAACCCTGAACTGTATTGTTACTCCACTTCATAATTTCTACTATGCCTTCCTCCTAATCACTGCAGGGTTTGTATATGTGATATCGTGTGCTATTGCTGGGATGTGATTTGAGTGCCCCACAAGGTTTCACATGTTGAAGTTTAATCCTCATTCCGAGGTATCAGGAAGGTGGGATCTTAAGCTAACCATGGTGTTTAGAATTAGGGCCTTTTTGAAGTGATAAGATCAACAGAGTGGAGCACCCATTACTGACCCTAGTGGCTCTGGAAGAAGAGGGCGGGAGACCACGACACACACCCAGAACTGTGTGCCGAGTGATGCCAGGTGCTACCTCTGAATGCTGCCAGCAAGAAAGCCCCTGCTACAAGTGTGGGAAACTGGAATGGAATTCTGTGCTCCTGGCTGCTGCCTGACCCGGCTTTGTCTGTCGAGGGCATCTGGGGAGTAAATCAGTAGACAGAAGATCTTTCTCTGTCTGTGTGTCACTGTCCCTGTGCCTTCCAAATAAAGAAATATTTTTTAGAAGTTTATTAAAAAAATAATTAAACAATTTAGTTTGATGCGATTTTTTTTTTAAATCCAGGCATAGTGCTTTTTCAAACTATGCATTTCCACGTCCTTTTTGCAGAGTTCGTGTATTTTCATTGAGTATCTATTGTTTTTCCTAATGTTCAGCAGAAAATGTTCACTGAAATTGAGTATTCCAGGAACCAGAGACTGGTTCCTGTTCTCCTCCACATTAATGCTGACGCCCATTTAGGGGGATGGAGAGCAACCTGGGGCCCTAATATTTTCCTGTTCATTTTTGTTTGTCTCCCTTTTTATATGTGCACTTTAAAAATTTCTAAGTGTTTTTACATATCTTCTTAATAAATTTTCAATTTTCATGTCAGATCATTGTATTAATTTTAGTACTGGCACACAAACATGAAACCTTGATTGCTTTAAAAGTCTTTTGATAACTGGGGTCAGCACTGTGGCGCAGCAGGTTAGACCCCTGGCCTGAAGCACTGGCATCCCATATGGGTGCCGGTTCTAGTCCCAGCTGATCCTCTTCCAATCCAGCTCTCTGCTATGACCTGGGTTAGAGGTGGAAGATGGCCCAAGTCCTTGGGCCCCTGAACCCACATGGGAGACCCGGAAGAAGCTCCTGGCTCCTGACTTCAGATTAGCACAGCTTTGGCCATTGTGGCCATCTGGGAAATGTATCAGAGGATGGAAGACCTCTCTCTATCTCTACCTCTCTCTGTAGCTCTGTCTTTCAAATAAATAAAATAAATCTTAAAAAAAGTCTTTTGATAACAGACACATGAAAATAAAAGTCAGTAAATAAACACATCCTCATCTAATAATGTGGCACAAGAAATTTCGAGGCTAGATTAGAGAGGAGTCAAGAGCTAAGGGATTGAAGTTTTATCATTTTGTGGGTATTGAGTCCCCTGGTTTGAGGGTAAGAGAGTTCTGGGGGGTGATCCAATCTGCATTCTAAAAAGGCAGGACATCTGTGGCTGGGACAGCCCTGGTTGCTGCTGGAGACGATGGTGGTGAAGCTACATTGCATCTTAAGTGATTGTTTGAAATAGGTATTGGCTAACATCTAATGAGCATTGAAAATGGCCAAGTACACCCATCTTCTAACAAAGGTTTACTGAGTACTTGTTATGTATGGTCATAGTCCTAATGTTTAGGCGTGAAATCATGTGATAACTTTCTGCTCTCACACAACTTAAAGGATGGCAGGGAGATGATAACCAAGTAAACCAATAACTACATGGTTATGTACCTCAAGATAGCTGTGATGTGCGGAAAAGGGGTGGCTTGGTAGATTTTTTATGTAGCACAATGGGAGGACAAAGGCAGCCCCCAAAAGTAGTTGGCTTGTCAGGAACATTTTCTTGGGGTGTAATGTGCAAGTTGACTCTTGAGGAAATGTGGGAGTTAGCTGAAAGTAAAAGGGAGGGAGACTTTTTTTAAGTGCAAGAAATACTATGTGCTTAGAGACTTGATTTTGGGGCAACAGTTTGGTATATGTGGAAGGAAGAAGTGTGCAGAAGAGGGACAGGCAAAGAGACTAAATGGGTCAGGAACAGGAATGTGGGGTCTTCAAGAAGAAGGTCAAACATTACCCTTACACCTACAGAAACTCTTAAAGGACTTTTAAACTTAAGCACATTCAATTTTGGTTTTGGCAAGAAAACACAGATACACTTTTTAGATAATCTTGAATAAACTTCATGGCTGGTTTCCTTCATTCGGGAAAATAAAAAATTAAATCATAAATGAACACTCACATCCAGTTAAGTTGAGGCATTTGGGCACACATCTGCTTGGGAAGGGCTTCTAAGTGGTTGTCAACCATAGACCTTTATACAAGGAAAGTGTTAATTAGGAACAAAATGAGATGTCACTTTAAGAATAGCATTTTTACTATTCTATAATTTGGAAACTTGCATGCTAAAATGAATTTGTTAGGAGGCAGTATAAAACAAAGCTACCCCTTCAAGATGATCTTTAAATATGTGTACAGTAAAGATTAGGAAGCAGATACTGTACGAAGGCCTATGCATGATATATCTCCTAGTAATAAATAGTACAAAATTTGATTTTATGAGATGAAACTAAATTATATATTGAGTAATAACTTTGAGGTCCATGACAATTTCCCCTGTAAACTTCAAACTTGCCATCATTTCCAGTGCCATGCATCCAAAGTTTCTTCTTAAGGGAAACATTAATCTGGAACAGCATGAAGGGACCACACGGGAAATTGCATTCAATCTAAGAAGTGACAGTAGGGGGAATTTGTGGAAAGAAAACAACTCATGAGCAAGTTAAGCTGTATGGCTAATTTATGATATTGTGGTCTCTTTTGACAAATGGAAAAATAATGTTGTTACACAATCAACTGTAAAGGAGCATCAAAAATCTCCTGCTGACAAATGGTTCTAGGGGATTAATAAACAGTGGAAATGTAATCATGATAGCAGCTCTGTTGGGAGGACAAAAATTCTGAAAATTTTAGTGACTAGTATTAGGCATAGGCACATTTTTCTGTTGAAAATGGAGTTGGAGCCAAGCATTTGGGAGGTTCTAATAGATTTCAATGTAGCTAGGATATGAAAATGAATACTATCTTTGGTCAACCACTATAAATAAAAGCATACTTCGGGACTAAAGGAAATTAAAGGGGTTGAAGAAAATCAACGAGTAGGCTTAAAATATACATAATAATCTGGTTGGCTGTTCTCTTTGACCATGACTAGAAAGTAGCAACAATCACTGTGGTTGGAAATACAGGAAAGTTGTGTTTTTTTATATTTTTTTTTTATTTTTTATCTTTTATTTAATGAATATAAATTTCCAAAGTACGACTCATGGGTTACAATGGCTTCCCCCCCCCATACCGTCCCTCCCACCCACAACCCCTCCCCTTTCCCACTCCCTCTCCCCTTCCATTCACATCAAGATTCATTTTCGATTATCTTAATATACAGAAGATCAGCTTAGTATACATTAAGTAAGGATTTCAACAGTTTGCTCCCACACAGAAACATAAAGTGAAAAATAATAGATGATTTTTTTTAAATGATGATGAAATCAGATCAGACCTATTGTCATGTTTAATCCCAGTGAGAGTCAAGTTGGGAATTGATAATTTCTTTTTTTTTTTTTTTACAGAAGATCAGTTTAGTGTACATTAAGTAAAGATTTCAATCGTTTGCACCCCCATAGAAACACAAAGTGAAATATACTGTTTGAGTACTCGTTATAGCATTAAATCTCAATGTACAGCACATTAAGGACAGAGATCCTACATGAGGAGTAAGTGCACAGTGACTCCTGTTGTTGACTTTACAAATTGACACTCCTGTTTATGGCATCAGTAATCTCCCTATGCACCAGTCATGAGTTTCCAAGGCTATGGAAGCCCCTTGAGTTCTCCGACTCTTATCTTGTTTAGACACGGTCATAGTCAAAGTGGAGGTTCTCTCCTCCCTTCAGAGAAAGGCACCTCCCTCTTTGAAGACCTGTTCTTTCCACTGGGATCTCACTCACAGAGATCTTTTTGCCAGAGTGTCTTGGCTTTCCATGCCTGAAATACTCTCATGGGCTTTTCAGCCAGATCCGAGTGTCTTTAGGGCTGATTCTGAGGCCAGAGTGCTATTTAGGACATCCGCCATTCTATGAGTCTGCTGAGTATCTCACTTCCCATGTTGGATCACTCTCCCCTTTATTTATTCTATCGGTTAGTGTTAGCAGATACTAGACTTGTTTATGTGCTCCCTTTGACTCTTAGTCCTTTCATTATGATCAATTGTGAACTGAAATTGATCACTTGGAATAGTGAGATGGCATTGGCACATGCCACCTTGATGGGATTGAATTGGAATCCCCTGGTATGTTTCCAACTCTACCAATTGGGGCAAGTCAGCCCGAGCATGCCCCAAATTATACATCTCTTCCCTCTCTTATTCCCACTCTTATGTTTAACAGGGATCACATTTCAGTTAATTTTCAACACTTAAGAATAACTGTGTGATAATTACAGAATTAAACCAGTCATATTAAGTAGAACAGACAGGCAGAATGGACAGTGAGAGAGAGAGACAGAGAGAAAGGTCTTCCTTTGCTGTTGGTTCACCCCAGGAAAGGTTTTGACCAATAAAAATGTTAGAAGGTTTATGTTTTTCAGAACCTTTTTTTCTGTAAGTTGGTGTTAGATGTCACTGCAATTTACAGACAGACGCATTGAAACGTGATGAATACTTACAGGAAAAACAAGGAATTTAGTCCAGTAAACAACCGTTGTGAAATTCTGGTTATTGGATTGTCATCTAGAATTCTGACAAAACACATTGAAAACAGTTGCAATGTTAGAGCTGTTTGTTAAATAAAACCAGGAAGAAGCAAAAGGCAAAGCTGAGCCTTTCTCCCCGGAATGTCCAGCCTTCTTGTGTGTGTGTGTGTCCCTTCCATGGGAGCTTTTCTTTTACCTTGTGGTGGCAGCTACACTTCCCTCCAGGTTCCTACAACCCTATCCCAGCATTTATTAAGTTGGATCCTGATTATTTGTTTTCTTTCCTAGCATTCACCTTCCACTAGACTTAAAGATCCAGGTAGTGGCCTTCACTTCTGGATACCTGAGTCCAGCACATGCTACACTTAGTGGCTGAATGAACAATAAATGAAAACATAATTCTTGATTCTTAGGAAATCACAAGTGGTTCTTTGCTCTCCAAATGATGTATTCAATAAGTTCCATACAACTGAACGAAGAGATGTCAAACCATTCATATGGAGTTTTGAGAATCAAAGAGTTTTTTTTTTTTTTCCAGGCAGATTTAGACAGAGAGAGAGAGAGACAGAGAGAAAGGTCTTCCTTCCATTGATTCACCCCAAAATGGCCGCTATGGCTGGCACTGTGCCAATCCGAAGCCAGGAGCCAGGTGTTTCTTCCCGGTCTCCCATGTGGGTGCAGGGCCCAAGCACTTGAGCCATCCTCCACTGCCTTCCTGGGCCACAGCAGAGAGCTGGACTGGAAGAGGAGCAACTGGGACAGAATCCAGCGCCCCAATCAGGACTAGAACCTGGAGTACCAGTGCCACAGGCAGAGGATTAGCCTAGTGAGCTGCGGTGCCGGCCGAGAATCAAAGAGTTTTTAACTATGTGGTATTTGTGTAGAAATTAGACTAAGGCAAATAGATCTCTTTTGCTTTTGTTACCTTTGAAGCCAGGTACCATTTCCTTTTAGTCTCAGAAGTTCATGAAGGTCAGATCAGGAGGAGAGGGCTACACCATGCACCCATTTTATGCCAGGAACTCTGTGTGTGCGCTTTACATACATCGTGGGTTGATTCTCACAACAGCCCTCATACAAAGACATTATGATCATAGCTTACAGAAGAGAAAAAAAGAGGCCTCATAAAATTAAGAAAGTGGCCTGGGAAGGTTAAGCATGAGACCAGGCACACACAAGAGTTTGAAGGAAACCAAAGCCATGACGTCTTCCATTAGATCAGATCAACCTGCAGAAACTGGCAAACAGACAGCCTTCCAACTACCCTGTGCTTGTCATTCTGGTGGAAGCACAGACATTTGATATTGATACCCAGAGGGGGATGGAACTGGTGGCTCAGCTTGGGAAGTGGTGAAATACTATGAATACATATTTTCAGACTTCTCTGAATGTTCTAGAAATCAGAACAACTTCTTGACTTTCTAGATCAGTGGTTTTCTACTGAAATTCTTTCTTCCAGGGGACATTTGGCAATGTCTGAAGCCATTTATGGTTGCTACAACTCTTGGGAGAGGGATTATACTACTGGCATCTAAGGAGTAGACACCTTAGAGGTGCTAAATATCCTGAAATGTACAGGACACACTCTCCTCCCTACCCCTCCTGAACAAAGAATTATCTGGCTCAGAATGTCCATAGTGCTGGAGTTATGGAATCCCACTGTTGGTTAACACTGAAGGATGAATGGATCAGCAAACCTACAATGGGATGCAGAAGGCCACCTGGAAAATCAAGCCAGCTTCATTTTCACACAGCCACCATGTTGCATGCCCTTTTCTAAATTGTTTGAACAAAGTTCCAGGTTATGTTTGTGAGAAAAGTATACTGGGTAGGTGTTTGGCATGGCAGTTAAAACACCACTTGAGATACCATCTTCTCAAACCAGAGTTCCTGAGTTTGAGTCATGGTTCTGCTTCTGGTCCATCTTCCTGCTAATGTACACCATGGCTAAGTACTTGGGTCATTGCCACCCATTTGGGAGACCTACAATGAGTTCCAGGCTCCTGGCTTTGACCTGGCCCAGGCCCCACTATTGTGGGCATTTGCGGAGAGTGACTCAGAACATAGAAAAATTCTCTCTCTTTTAAATGAATGAATTAATTTTCAAAAAGAAAAAAGAAAAATAAGTATAATGTACAAGATACAGTAAAAAGTGCAAACTCTGTGTTTGTTATAGTATGTCATTGAGGACTATTTTTTGGGAGAAATTGAAACTAAAATACTTACAGCCACGTCAGCTGATGTAAGTCTTCGAATACTCCAGGTCTGAGACTTGTTATGTGGTTGTGGTTGAGATACCTACAGATAGCATGGGGGAGTTAATTAGGAAAGCTCAACACTCTGTTTCAGTCACATATCATTAGATATATGAGCCACTGATAATGATTATGAAGTATGGACATCTGCCTCTGAACTAGCTCAGTGGGATGGCCTGGGAGGGAGTGGAAATCAAGGGACATCTGGGAGGTACAGACAGTCTGAAGTCCAGTACGTGCAGCACCAGGGCCAGGACAAGAAAAACTGACCAAAATGATGCTCTAGGAGCATACATCACATCAGAGTAGAAAAGGATAATAACTAAGCATATAGGGCAGTTTTTTTGCTTTTGTCCTTTTTATGCTCACATCCTTAGTTAGATTAGTATTTTAAGAAAATACATAGCAAGTTAGTAAGGGTTAGAAAAAAATAAAAAATGGCTAAGATATTGTGGAAGTGACCCAACCTGGAGAAGACAGGAAAACCTATTTAAGTCTCAGGGTCAAAGAACCTTTTAGTGTAATAAGCAATCCCAGCACTTTGTGATAACCTGTTCCTCCCATTTCTTTACAGCCAGGTCAAGCCTCAAAAAAGCACCATTTCTACTAGTTTAGTCTTTACTTAAAAGTATAGTCATAATATAATTATACAAAAGTTACTCACAATATTTGAAGATTATATAATCCAAAAAATGCTTTCCTGGATATGTGTCTAATGCAATTATACTGTAGAAATCTGGTAGGAATAAGACAGAAGAGTCACAAGATGACAGTTTATGGACTTTATTGGGTCACTTTCTTCATCTGAAGACAATCTGTGACATTATCTTATAAAGTACAAGGTCCTATTCTCATGTTTGAGGGCAGGTAGAGGTGCCAGTCAAAGACAGCTATGAGCCTAGCCAACACGTGCTGCGCCTATAGGTGCCATATAGTGATATTTGACTATCTCTGACTCGTACCACTGAACTCCAACATGCTGTGTTTGGGGCAGGATCCAGTTTTCTTTCTGCAAACTGGAACCACAGCACCATCTTGTTCTGATTGGCCGGAGCTGCTGACCATGTGCGATTAGCCTGCCTCTGCCTGCTGAGCTTTCTTGCTCTATCAGCACATGCCTTTCACTCTCATCCCATGAACAAAGGAGGGGATGAATTTTATCCTGTTCTGTTTCCAGGTGCAACGTGGGAGGCACCAAGTGAACTGGTGAGGTACGAAGGGTCCCAAAGGGCACCAGGAATTGAACTGAGCTAGAACACCATCTGCAACTCATAGTATCATGATTTCCTTAACCTGTGAAGCAAATTAACGGTGCAGTATTGATTTGTCATAGCACTGGCAGGAGTATCGAAACAAATGCTTTCCATTTCCTATCTTCATGACACAATGGGAGGTAAGTTCTGAATTCATTTTTTTTCTAAAGGCTGCCAGGGGCAGGAAGTACCCACACTAATAATAACTAATGAGTACACAGTCATTTGAATGGCTTCTAGTCCTCTTATTTTGATCTTAATTGATTCCATAAACATTACACAACACAGTCTTGATGGCTATGGACTCCACTGCGGAGCTCTGTGTAGAATAAGTGCTCATGCAGTATCTAACTGAATTTTGTTGTATGTATGATTATACTATAGGAAAGAGTCCTAGTCTTTGCCTTTAGGTCATGAATATGTTAAGAGTGACAGCATATTCACATCCTTAGGCCTCAAGGAAGTCAGGTAAAGCTAAGACCAGCTTCCAATTTTCAGCAAATCTTTTCTTTGATCCCAGATACAGCTCAATTATGGCCATTTTCCTTCTGTACCACCACGTGGGAAGGGCGGATACTTCAGTGCATGTGCGTTCTCGCCAAAGTGGTGCCCAACGCATCAATTTCAATCCCGTATGATAAACGTGAAACCCAATGTGACCTCGTGCCCTTCCAGCCCCCCTTTTCCCTGCACTTTGTCTGTTTCACATTGCAGCATAAATTCTTCTTTTAGTTTAAGAGTCTGTTGTAAATAGAATGAACTCTCACAGATCAATATCTGTTTTAGATTTTTCAGAGTTTGGGCTGATGTAATGGAAGTTAATATGGTGAATTATGTTATAATAGCAAATGAAAATAGAAAAAGAATATAATACTCTTATATAGGTAAAGTTATAATGAATATACTGAATTTCCTCTCTCTAACTAGTTGCTACTCACATTTTATTTAGGATGATTAATTCAAGAATACAATGCACATTTTACCTACATGTTGTGTCTTAAAAAGGTGAGTGCAGTCACAGTCTATAAATTTACCTTGTTGCTTTTGTCTTAGAAATCAAAGGAAAGAGTTAAACCAATGATTGGCATGTCTCTTCTCATACGGACAACTTATCTCCTGTCACTGACATCAATTTGGATTCAAACTCTTTAAATAATGAGTCTGTAGCTTTTTATTTAGTCAGCTGTTGTCAGGTCACAGGGATCCAGAGTCCCAGGTCCCATGTCTCAGTTAGGCAGCTAAACTTGAATTCTACCCTGTAGTTTTTGCTTTCTTCTTTGCAGAATAGTAGCATGGAGAACGTGAAGAGAAATTTGGAAACATGACAATTTGGCAAGTGTTGCCCACTTTTAATTCAGAGCTGAGATATGAACCCATTTAATATACTTTTCACTGAATGGCTTTTCTAAGAATAACTTACTGGTTCATGAATTCCTGCTGTTTCAGCTGTCAGGACTTTTCGAGCAGAAACGCCAGGAATTTATGTACCTGCAACTAAAGCAAATAAATGCTTTAATGACATGCATGTTTATAAGCTATTTTTAAAATGTGACATTTTGTATTCAAGAGCCAGGCAGACACGTTGAATTACCATTTGCTGCCAATAATCATTTAACAAGAACTCAGTTGAAGAAGGAGTTCCTAATTTATATAAGGTTTATGTTACAATGAGAACTACTGCTGTTGGTTTCCATGGCAGCAGTGATAAAGTATTTCAGTCAATGCCATAAATTGTATTTTATTTCCTTGAAAGGTCATCTGAAGCTGCTTTTCCTTCCCCAACTTTAGAAAGACCTGCCATTTTAAAAAAAGTACTAAAATGAATAAGCTGATCAATAGTAAAAGTATTCAGATCATTTGAATAACATTCATTTATCTGAAAATTAATGTTTAATGTTGATTTAGGAATTCATTTTTGGGGTGCCTCAATGACCTCAACTCCACTGGTAAATAGTTAGAACATTCCAGACTAGAGACTCACTTGACATTAAATTCTAATCTCTTAGGCTATTTCCCAATACAACCTAAAAATGCAGGTTAAATTTATTGGCTCAATACAACCCACAACATGTTTTTGTGCATGTCTTTTCTCTGCTCACATAGAGTAAAAATCCAGATTTCTTAGGTGACATTCAAAGTATCTACACTTGGGATTCTACTACTCCCTAGCCCATGCTCCATCATCTCCAGTGGGAATCCTTCTCCTCTAGACAAACTGTTCAGTCTCTTCCCAACATCCTGAGTGCTTTTGTATATTTTTGTTCTCCCTGCCAAAGATCCTTCCTAACTTCTGTTTAGTCCTTAAATTTGCATTATCCAGCACTGATACAACAAATACTTCTTGATCTTCATTGAGTCCTTACTCTGAGCTACAACATTTGCTATAATGGAATAGGGAGGTATGCAGTACTATGTGAGAACCAGGAGGATCACCCAACTCAGAAGGAGTATGTGGTGGTGATTGAGTGGTGCCTTCAAAACTCAAGGACCAAAGTGAAGGGTTCATGAAAATGTAATCATAGCTGATCCAAGTCATGTTCAAAACTCAGAAAGTAAAATGTGGGCAATGAGAATGTGTTTCTAGTTATAGTGTAGGACAAGAAAACATTGAGGAAAAATTCAAGCTTGCCTCCTGGGTTCTATTTTATAACATTGTGAAAGAAACTACCACTTAGTGATCTACTCCTACTCTGTTTCTGTTTACTCAAAGAAGGTGATCCCCAGGGCTGAAGCAAAGAGAAAGGCTATTGGTTTGGCACATGCTCACTCGGACTTATGCCAATGGTAGAGCTAGAAATGTGCCAGGGGATTTCAAATCAATCCCATCAAGGTGGCATGTACCAATGCCATCTTACTAGTCAAAACTATCAGTTTGAGTTCATAATTGATCATAAAGATAGCATTGTCAAAGGGATCACATAAACAAGACTAGTGTCTGCTAATACTAACTGATAGAATTAAAAAGGAGAGAACGATCCAACATGGGAAGCGGGATACACAGCAGGTTCATAGAATGGCAGATGCCCTAAATAGCACTCTGCCCTCAGAATCAGTCTTTAAGGCATTCAGATCTGGCTAAAAAGCCCATGAGAGTTTCTCAGGCATGGAAAGCCAAGACACTGTGGCAAAAACAAAAACAAACAAACAAACAAAAACAAAACAAAACAACAACAACAACAACACAAACTAAATGAAAGATCTCTGTGAGTGAGATCCCAGCAGAAAGAAGGAGCCATCAAAGAAGGAGGTACCTTTTTCTGAAGGGAGGAGAGAACTTCCACGTTGTTTATGGCCTTCTCTAAATAAGCTCGGAGTTTGTGAACTCAACAGGCTTCCATAGCCTTGGCAGCTCATGACAAGAGCCTCGGGTGATCACTGACATCATAAATAAAAGTGTCAATTGTTCAATCAACAACGGGAGTCACTGTGTATTTACTCTCCATGTAGGATCTCTGTCCTTAATGTGTTGTACTATGTGAATTAACAGTAAAACTAGTATTCAAACAATACTTTATACTTTGTGTGTCTGTGTGAGTGTAAACTGTGAAATCTTTATTTAGTATATGCTAAGTTGATTTTCTGTATATAAAAATAATTGAAAATGAATCTTGATGAAGAATGGGATGGTAGAGGGAGTGGGAGATGGGATGGTTGTGAGTGGGAGGGAGGTTATGGGGGAAAAAGCTGCTTTAATTCAAAAGTTGTACTTTCAAAATTTATATTTATTAAATAAAAGTTTTAAATAAACAAACAAACATAAAAAAGAAATGCTATCGGGCAGGGGTAGTGAAAGCTCAGGATGGTAGAATATGTTGATCATAAGGAATTCACAAGTCCTCTGGCTTGGACAATTTCTCTCAGAAATAGATGATCTCGGGAAATGAAAACATCAAACCCAAATCAATTACTGAGGAATCTAGAGAAATGATGAACAGCTGGAAAATTAGAGATGGCAAATGTGGCTTTCGTGTTTCAGACAGGGTAGAATTGAATTTCCCAAGCTACAGTGGATGAGTTCAATGTCAGCCTGGTAAACTCACAGATTATTTATTAGATGTGCTTTGTGAACACCTAAAAGAGAAAGGGAGCAGGGTAGTCCATGAGGTTCAGGGCATTTCAGACCAACCTAATTTTCTTCTTTGAAGGACTGGCCAGGAAATAACAGCCTACCAAGCATTGATCAAATGGTGTCATGGTATTGCTAAGGACAAAATAAAGTATGAGACACATCCTTATGTGAATGGTGATGAAGAAGAATTATGGAAAGACAGTTTGGTGCTGTCTTCTTCGGTGTTTTACCACATGACTTGTCTAATAGTGGTTCATCTTATTTTCAGATGAAAGAAATATGGCAATAATAGTGAGTACATGGGATGATCCAGAAAGATCTTCACAGTCTGGCAAGAAAAGCTGAATACATTTAAAGACTCACCTTAAACTACCTCTCAAATGCTAAGTGCACAGGTACAGGATGGACCTCACATAATTAGTAATATATATGGCACAGGGATAAGAATTGTAGAGGCAAGAGCACTAGGAATTAAAGGCATCAGATAGTAATCACAAGACACATTACAGCCCTAGGGCACATAGAGTATAGAACACATTACAACCCTAGGGCACATAGAGTATAGAAAGGAAGGGATGCTAATTCTGCTCAGCTTGCCTCGATCATGTTATGATAATATTCTGTCAGGATAACACTGTATTTGTTTTAGGCATCACATGTTAAAGAAAATGTAGGCAAGCATATGACAATGACAATGACAAACAGATTTGAAAGCAGGTGCTTTGGAGAAGAATTTAAGGAAACAGGAATGCTTTGTGGTGGGGTACAGGGTGATGACTGCTAGTTTTAAGTGTCTGTAGAGTTATGTAGAAGACTGATCGGTGTGTTCTGATCAGTCTCATGGAGACAATCCCGGAATGACGAGGGCTTTAAAGATAACTTGGGCTATGGTAATATGGACAAAATTTATTATAATGTTGCTTGAAATTCCATTTACTCAGAACCCACTAATCCTTTTTCTAGTTGGTTTTCTCCATAAACCTAATTATAATTTAATACATAATGTATCTTAAATTTTGTTTATTGACTGTCTTCCTCCATTAGAATTTAGGTGCCACAAGAAGAGGACTTTTTGTATATGTCATCTACTTCTGTATCCCTAGCACCTGGCACATTGTAGGAATCAGTAAATCTGTGTTGAAATAATGAATGGAGGGGTGGGCGCCATGACTCACTTGGTTAATCCTCTCCCTGTGGTGCCAGCATCCCACATAGGCGCCGGTTCTAGTCCCAATTGCTCCACTTCCAATCCAGCTCTCTGCTGTGGCCTGGGAAGGCAGTGGAGGATGGGCCAAGTGCTTGGGCCCTGCACCCCATGGGAGACCAGGAGAAGCACCTGGCTCCTGGCTTCGGATCGGCGCAGTTCTGGCTGTTGCGGCCATTTGGGGAGTGAACCAATGGAAGGAAGACCTTTCTCTCTGTCTCTCCCTCTCACTGTCTTTAACTTACCTCTCAAATAAAATAAATAAAATCTTTTAAGAAAAATAATGAATGGACATGTGAGTTTCGCTAGCCTCCTCTCTCTTGCTATCTTTTGCAAGAGTTCTGGTGATGCCATTCAGTTTCTCCCCTTCTCTGACAATCTTTCCTGGGGATGGTTTTTTTTTCCTCATGTTGGTTATTTGGGCTTTTGGGTGCAAAATTGGAGTGAAAAAAGGAAAGAGCAAAAGGACAGGATGGATAAAAGGTGTGACTGGGGTTGAAGGAGATTTTTCTGGGAGTCTGAGAAAGAGTGGCAGGAGGAGCTGGGGAGTAAGGAGTTTCCAGAAAGGATTGCTGAGCTTGTGAGCTACTTTAGGGTATGTGAGTAACTCAGAGTTTAGTTACTGGATGGTTTCATTAACGGTAACAACATTCTGAGACTGCAGCACGTGGGTAGGAAGGTTTGGGTTTGACAAGCTCTGATGCTTGTCAACTGGCTGACTGTGGGCAGACAAACTCAGCTCTCCAAGATTAGTTTTCCTCATTCCTGAAAGGCATCTCATGGTTTCTCTACATCTCATTGACTTTGAGGATCAAAGCCTAAGTGAGAACTCCAAATATTGGAATTCTTTATAGACTTTAAAAAGTGACATCTAAATTTACATTGTGTTTGATCCCTCTGGGCTGTAGCTTATATATATTAGACATTTTAGTGCTTCTTGGTGAGGGTCTCATAATCTCTATTCTGTGCATCTCTGGAAGAATCAAATAGAAGCTTGCATTGCGAGAATCCTGTGGGGTGACATTCAGCTTATAATGCAATGCCTAAGTTTTCCCAGACAAAGTAGAATTAAATATTTACTTGGAGAAGTTGCCAGCTGATCTTGGCAATGAAAGTTAATGTCTACCCTTTTTTTTTTCACTAGGAAAATTTGGAATGTGCATTCTCAGAGTGTTTCTTATTCTTCTCTGCAGAGGGCCAGAAGGCACTGTGAGGGGAAGTACTGACAGAACGAAATTGTAGGTCAGGAAAGAATTTAGTCTGAGAACCTGATCTCAACTTTTCTTCTTGATCCCCCCTAGAAGCTGATTTTTCCCAAATGAGGGACAAAAGCTGCAGAAGGGAATTCAGCATTGGGAAAGATAGTATGTGTTAGCAGAAGTTTAATGAAATGTTAGAACGATTCCTTTTTGTCTCTAGCTTTCTCAATATGGTAGAAAAAGCATTACCTTGGGCATCAGAAAATGTGAACACTGATTCTGGCTCTTCCACTAACAGGTGGTAGATCTTAGGTGAGATACTGAATCATTGCAATCTTTAATTACCTCATTTGTCATGAGAAGGTTTAAAAAGAAATTCCTAAAACTTCTATGACAGTAGATGAGAGGATTTAACAGCTGCTCTTAAACAAGAATCTTTCCCTTCCTTTCCTCCAGTGCTATTTTATTTTTACCTCCTTGAGGCAGCACAGGGACACTCTTGACTCACGGAATGAACATGTAATGATTTTAAGAATTTCCAGGAAGACTAGAAGCAACACAGTTCAATGTCCTCTCTAGAGGAGACTGGGAACCTGGAGTGAATGCATAGCTACTCCAATGTGACAATGATGACATGACCACATGCTCTAGGATAGAGCAGAGGGTCCTGACTGTAGCTGAGGTTTACAGAGGTGATGATCAAACCCGGCTGTGATTAATTATCCAGGTTCACACAAGGCTCCACCTAGTGGATTTCCTCCAGGGGTATCTTTTCTTATGTGCATGAATCTGTACCTAAACTCATGAACAGGGAATTGTTGATGTTTCCAATCAAATATGTTTGTCCAATCTCAGCAAAGATTCAGATCATTTTTACGCCTGCATTTTAACAAATTCACATTTCTAGAAACGTTCTTATGTACAGTAGATATTGAAAGATAAAACAATAAGGTTGTGGTACTGTCAAGGGCCTTACAACATATATAGCACTACCATGCTGGCTTGGTTCTGTAGCTAAATGACTTTCGGCAGGTGTGGCCTCTCCAGTGCCTCAGAATGAACTCAGAAGGACTGAGAGACATTAACCTAATTTACAAAAGAATGATATGTGATTCTGAACAGTCTCAAGTTATTAATGTGAAAAGGAGGTATATCATTCCACTGATAGGAATGTTCTTATGCCATATCCAATGGAACATTTTCAATTACTTCAGCATAAACAAGTTGTGAAATTAATCATCATAAAGTTGCTTGATAAGTAGTGAATCAAAGTGAAGAGATATGCGTAGTATTAAGAGACAACTCATGAATATTATAATGAAGATTGGTGATCCATTTCTGCCCTGTAACAGACCATCTCCAATATTATATGCCCCAAACCCCGAGTTTCTTTGTTAGACAATGCTGGGAGCATACTGGTACCTTTTTTCTCACTAATACCACTTCTGACCTGCTGACCATGACCTATTAATTAACATTTTCTTTCCTTCATTAAATGAGTATCACTGATTGCACTACTATTGTGTTTTGGATCCTATCTCCCTAGGAGACAGTCTGTGTTTTATCGTTATGTGATTTACATGATCTGACTGTTCTTGTCTATGTTATCACTCTTTTTCCAAGTTAAAAAGTACATTTAGTGCTTCTGAATCTGAAATGTCATTTTCCAAATAGTCTTTTGAGAAAAAACATGAGACAACGTATTTTCCTATTGAGATATTTTATCTCCACTCCAAATTAACTGAAAAAGTTTAAACAAAATCTGTTCAGCTACTTTAAATTATGAAATGGAAAAATAGCCTGCTCTTAAATGCTCTATTTCTAATCTTAATCACATTTAGAAACAAAAATTTAGTGATAAAAACAATAAATTTTGTATTTTATTTTTGGAACAAAAGCATCTTAAATGAAACATGACAAGGGTTTTCCCATAAATGCACTGTTAATAACTACTTACATCTTTTTGAGTTCTGTGTATTTGATGAAAACTTTATCTGGAAGACTGAGGATTTTGTTTTTCTTAAGAGACCTAAAATAACATGTAAAGCAGACTTCGTTATGGATTTTTATGGGCAACCAAACTCTTCTCTAGAATCAGCATGCTTGGAAAGAGAATTTGAAATGCTATTTAAGATACAGGTGAATATGACAGTGATTGAAAAGTTTCCATGGAAGAAAGGAAAGTTCATAAAGAAAAATCAGTTTACAGATTTGACAAGGTTAGCCTATTCCTATAGAAGGCTGGAAAGTCTATGATGAATTCCCTTTTTCTTTTACTCTCTGGATAAGTTAGCAAACCACAGCAAACAACATGAAAAAAACAACCAATGATCCTAACCATGTGTGGTTAAACGACGACATTGCTGCAAATTTTGAGGCTCTTGGAAGATTTATGCAAAATATAGAGAAGTCCACATAATCTGGCACAGCCAGCTTTTTATACCTTTGCAGTTGTGGATAAATTATCATCATTAAAAATGAGATGGAATAAATGAGTGTGCTTCCTTTTAAAAAGCATTTCAGAACAGGCACATTAGTAATTGTATGTAAATCAGAAAGTTAACAAAAATAAGAATTCCAGACCACAGATGTTTGTGAGCTCAACATTAATGGGGCTAATCTAACATACTGTGTTTACAGCATTTTTTACCTTGGAGAGGAAGCATAAAGAATTCTCTGATGACTGGTGGTTTTAGATAGACTTTCTATCATGCCACTAATATGACTCTATAGTAGCACTAAAGAGTTTTTCTTTTGTTTGTTTTCATGCGACTTTAGGGACAAATATAATCAAGAATTGAATTGTACTCACAGTAACGTCACATTGTGGGAAAGGGTGGGCACGGTCCTTAGGTCAGCATCTACACATTCCAGTTCAGTTTCTTTGCAGTCACAATGTTCTGGATACTGGCTTAGAACTGGGGGTAAAAAGAGCAGGATTTCACTAGGAAAAATGACACATTTCTTCAATTATGACTATCTATAAATGACCTTGTTCTCTTTTCACTGTTTCAAATTGATACCTTATTGAATGGCTTTATTCAGCTGATAGAGGCAAATAAGATTTCTCCTTAAATCAATACAGATTACCATGGTGGCCACCTCAGTTTGAACTTCCAGTAGTCATTAAGGATGCATTAAGTGGGTGTTTATAAAGAGACCACAAAATGTTTAAGTAGCATAAAATCGTAGAGTGCAGATTAGTTTCTCATTGAAAAACACTAGGAGTTTCAAGCTGCCTCAGCCACCTTGGAGATAGGAGAGGGGCGATGGCTGTGGCCCTCCTGCTAATGCAAACCCCACAATGGCCACACTAGTCACCGCCCCCTCTCCCCGAGTGAAGCTGTCTCCTCTGTAACTGCTGACCACAGCTACAGGAGGAGAAGGTGTCAAAACCCAGAGCTGCGACACGGGCCGCACAAGTGAAGAGACAGAGACCGGAAGGATGGTGCAGTCCCGTTCTGCTTAACTGCTGCGAGAACCAGTACGACAAGGACAAGGCAGTGTCTTCCCATAAGCTTCCACTTACTCGACCCATTCTTTGTAGAAAATGGGAGGTGGCTGTCAGAAGAAAAAACGTGATGCCGGTCAAGCACAGAAGCATCGGTTCAGAGCACTTTACTCCAGATAGCTTTAAGAGGAAGTGCAACAACAAGTCACTGAGGGAGCATGCTCTTCCCACAATATTTCTTTGTATCGAACTGCATGACAAGAAGGAAGATCTTCTTGGGTCACAGGAGCAGCTGCCTCCAGCTCCTTTAACACCTCCCAGGATGGATGCTGCTGTTGGATTGCTAGTGCCTCCTCTACAGCCCCCGCCAACCCCTCCGTCTCCTGTGATCACAGCTACACCGTGGAGGAGCCCATGCACTACAGGAAAAGGATTCAGCAACTGGAACAGCAGGTTGAGAAACTCAGGAAGAAGCTTAAGACAGCACAGCAGCGGTGCAGAAGACAGGAACAGCAGCCTGAAAAGTTGAGAGAGGTCCTACGTTTCCAAAAAGGGAGAGAGACTCATTGGAGAGTGATCCTGCCAAGTGACTGCTTTGAGAGAGTGGAAGTGGCAGCATGAATTTTTAACAGGGCGATGCCACATACCCTCTCTTAGCCTGTAAAGGAGTTTCATTTGAAAAAATAACGCTTGATTATTTGTATAAAAGCATTCAGATTTTTTTTTAAAATAAATTAGATATACACTGTAAAATTGTAAGATTTTTGTTTGTACTTTCAGAGTTTTTACATGTTAACAAAATATCTTTAAAGTTATAAACTAGCCTCAGATTGCCAATGGAAGTTGGTTTCAAGACTGGGGATTTTTGTTTTTTAGGGTATTTATAGAAATAATGTAAAAATAAAAAAGAAGGAGAATAGTGCAGTAAGATTCAAGTTTAAGATATAAAATTCATGCTGCTTATTGAGAAAATTTAGTTATATTTTAAATCAAGAAGAATTAGATCATGGGCATAACATTGCAAGATACATAACCATATTCATGCCTATACTCACAGATTCTTATTTGTAAAGGCAGAAGGTTCACTTACCGTTCTGAATCATTTGTCAAAGTAATTTGGCAAGTCAGTAATTGAACAGATTTGAGTGCCTTTACAGCAGAAGATGAACATCTACTCAATAAGTAACTTTAAGAAGAACAGATTTTTTTAAAGTAGGCCCCTCTTTGTTCCCCACTGTTAAACATTTCAAACTAGAAGTGTGTCTTCAGTGAAGGAAACAGCCTTCAGTCAACAAAGTGAGGCTTTGTTGTCAGTGAGGTAGTAAGGCGCTAGGGCCTGATCCATGATGGTTATTTCTCTCACGACCCCTAGATAAAGGACACCCATTCCCCAACTGTAGTTATATCTGCGTCCAAAGCTTTAACAAATGTGGTACTAGACTTTGGTTTGTTCTGTTATAGATTCATTTTTCAGTAACTAATTGATTTTGGCCAAAACCTCACAAAAAAATCATTTCTTCTCACAAGTTAGAAATTGTTTCGCATTTATCTAGTGGTTTCTCTTCAGAAGCAGCCGAATGTACAGCGTTTATCTGCTGAATGTTGAGATTTAAACACTGAAGTTTCTGTTCAGACTGTGAGTTGTGCTTGGACTTTGTGAATTTTACATGTATTTGAAATGAAAATATGCTCTGAGCAAACAAATGCTGCTATCAGGAGTAGTCTACTTAAATTTAGAGTAACTATTCCAACTCTATCACTTGTATAAATGCACTGAGATAGTTAGAGTAACGGACCTTTCAAGACGATGTTAGAATGTGCAAGCATTTTGTGTCTTTTGTAGACCTTGTTTCATTGGAATTCCCTGCCATGCTGCCATGGATAGTACTTTGATTCCTGATATCTTAGGAACCAGTGTCTCAAGATAGAAAATAAGAGCTTTTTCCTGGTTTCCCATGCTGGTGCAGGGGCCCGGGGACTCGGGCTATCTTCTGCTGCTTTCCCAGGCCATGTCAGAGAGCTGGATCGGAGGTAGAGCAGCCGGGACTCAAACCGGTGCCCATGTGGGATGCTGGCACTGTAGGTGGCGGCTTTACATGCTGTGCCACAGTGCCAGCCCTGGTTGCTTTTCTTTTTTTAATCATGGAGGATGTTGAAGTTTATTAAATGCTGAAAAGCCCGTGAGAGTATTTCAGGCATGGAAAGCCAAGACACTCTGGCAAAACAAACAAACAAACAAACAAAAAACCTAAATGAAAGATCTCCACGAGTGAGATCCCAGTGGAAAGAACAGGTCATCAGAGGAGGAGGTACCTTTCTCTAAAGGGAGGAGAGAACTTCCACTTTGACTATGACCTTGTCTAAATATGATCAGAGTCGGTGAACTCAAAAGGCTTTCATAGCCTTGGCAACTCATGACAAGAGCCTAGGGTGATTACTGATGCCATAAATAAGAGTGTCAGTTTGTTAAGTCAACACCAGGAGTCACTGTGCACTTACTCCTCATGTAGGATCTCTGTCCTTAGTGTGCTGTACATTGAGATTTAATGCTATAACTAGTACTCAAACAGTATTTTTCACTTTGTGTTTCTGTGTGGGTGCGAACTGTTGAAATCTTTAGTTAATATATGCTAAACTGATATTCTGTATATAAAGAGAATTGAAAATGAATCTTGATGTGAATGGAAAGGGGGAGGGAGAGGGAAAGGGGAGGGTTGCGGGTGAGGGAAGTTCTGAGGGGGGAAGCCATTGTAATCCATAAGCTGTACCTTGGAAATTTATATTCATTAAATAAAAGTTTTAAAAAAATTTTTTAAAAAAAGAAGTTTATGTGAAGTCACATAGTCTGATAGCAACATTTAGAACTAACTCAGTTGAATGCCTGTTCACTGGTTATTCCTGAACTTGTAACTGCTCATCTCCAGCAATTCCTGGAAGATACAGGGGTATATATTTGCCAAGTATAAGTCTCTAACCTAAACTGTCTTTCTACATGAAAGATTGTGCGTGTGTGTCCCCAGAACCGAGACTCCAGATTAGGTTATAAAGTATTAATCATAATTAGCATTTTAGACTTATTATTTAACCTGGAACTACTTTCTTTTCATAACAGACATAATTCTCCATTTGGAGAGAACTGAGCAAGCAGCATGCACACCAACTTCTTCCATTTAAATAATTTATCATAATTTAACATAGGGAATTTGAAGTGCAGGTGCTTATTTGTGATTGAGAGGTGATGTTTGTTGAGTGTTATAAAAATTCATTTGATGTATTTTATTGTTTGTAACATTGCCAAGGAAAGTGGAACATTTAGGCTAAAACAGGTTCTGTTCAAGTATACTGGAACTCACTCTGAAACATGTGGGGACAAGGTCTTCTCAATATGGAATAAAGAGTGGGTCGGCATTGTGGCATAGTGGGAAAAACTGCTACCTGCAATCCCGGCATCCAATATGGGCACTGGTTTGAGTCCTGGCTGCTCAGCTTCTGATCCAGCTCTCTGCTATGGCCTGGGAAAGCAGTAGAAGATGGCCCAAGTCCTTGGGTCCCTGCACCTGCATGGGAGACCCAGAGGAAGCTCCTGGCTTCTGGCTTTAGATTGGCACAGCTCTGGCCATTGAGGCCAACTGGGGAGTGAACCTGCAAATGGAAGGCCTCTCCTTCTCTGCTTCTGCATCTCTGTAACTCTGCCTTTCAAATAAATAAATAAATCTTTCAAAAAATGGAATGGGTTTTTGTAAAAAAGAAAAAAGAAAAGAAAAGAAAAACTACTGTGTGATTAAATAAAGCTCAATGGGTATGATTCAGTTACCTCAATTGACTAGCTCAAGGCAATTGCTTGATAAATGCTTGCTGATTAACATTAAATTCAAAACATCCCTCTTTTGAACTTAGAGTTGAGAGAAGAGTTATATGCAGGCTCTGCCATATCTTCCATTACTCCTTATTAACATCAGTCCAGTCAGATATCATTTCATTTTCATTCCTTTCTTTTCATTCCCATGAAGGTGAAAGTAGGAGGTAAAAGAAGTTGGAGAGAAACTGTAAAGCTTAGAAAACCAAAGATCCACTTATCTGAAGCACCCAGAAGAAAGAACTTACATAATTATTGAGAAAATTGCATATAAAGGAGTGAGAAATGTACTCAAGGTAGTCTATGCGACAAAGACTGAGTGTGTGTGTGTGTGTGTGTGTGTGTGTAAAATGAGTAAGGGAAAGAGAGAGAGGAAGAGTGGAGTGGGATGGGGGAGAGAATGCTTCTGGAATCTGATTTCCCCACTGATCCTGTATATAATTTGTCTTGATGAAGTTAAGAATGTGAAAGTTATCATATTGATTAAATATGATTATAAGTTATTTCCAGTTGTTCTGCTTTTTAAAGATTATTTAAATGCTATTTTAAAAATGAACTTCATTGAATTTTAGTTTTATTGAGTGCCTTTGTAATGCAAAGATGGCTTTTAGTATATAAACTTTTAGAAAATATTTTCCACAGCTATATGTTAATTAACTCAACTGCCTAAAGATATCAACAATATGTTTACTTCAGTGTTTATTGACATTGAGCATAGTTGTGATATGAGGGGACTTCAAAAATGGAATGAAGATATAGATTTATTTTGGTGCAAAAATCTTTGAATTCTAGACACTTTTTTTTACAACATGCATTTTATATAAACTGTTTAAAGACATCTCATATGCATGATTTCAAAATTTTTCATGTCAAAATATACTCATGCACTAATTCCACTTTTTATTAACGTTTTGAAGTCCCATTTAATACTAGATCAAAAACCCTGTGACTGGAAAAATTCATTTACCGATAATGGAATTTCTCATGGTCAAGTTCTGCCTCAACCAGCACTGCGGGAGAAACCTTCACCCTCCCTCATCTGCAGTCCAGTCACATTCCCAGTGTCTGTGGATTCTTCTTCTGAAAAGCCTCTTGCTTCTCTCTCTACCCCACTCTTCCCAGTGGCATTTTCTAGACTCCGGTTCTCAGTGTTTGAGCTCTGCAACACCATAATAATCACTGTCTCCTTCATCATTCTTTCTCCGTCACCTGAGCATGATGGATATATGGGGTCACATCTTTCCCTGGTGTGGAAGCTGTCCTGTGTACTGTATGATGTTCAGCAGGGTCCCTGGCCTTCTCTCCTGGATGTCTACTGTGACAACCAAAGGTGCCTCCAGACACTGCTAAGCATTCTCTGGTGCACAGTTGTCCCAGCTGGGGCTCACTGCTCTAATCGATTCTTTCCAATTATTTTAGGAGAAGAATCTTCCTTGTAAACATTTTGCTCTTCATTAAAAAAAAAAATAAAAAAGTCGGGGCTGGCGCGGTGGTGCAGTGGGTTAAAGCCATGGCCTGCAGTGCCAGCATCCCATATGGGCACCGGTTTGAATCCCAGCTGCTCCACTTCCAATCCAGCTCTCTGCTATGGCCTGGGAAAGATGGCCCAAGTCCTTGGGCCCCTGCACCCAAATGGAAGACCTGGAAGAAGCTCTTGGTTCCTGGCTTTAGATGAGCTCAGCTCTGGCAATTGCAGTCATTTGGGGAGTGAACCAGTGGATGGAAGACCTCTCTCTCTCTCTGGGTCTACCCCTCTCTGTGACTCTGACTTTCAAATAAATAAAATAAATCTTTAAAGAAAAATAAAAACAATAAAAAACCCAAATAATCAAAAAAGCCCATAGGTTTGATGGTTACCTGCTGTATACAGAGGTAATCTACAAAATAGAATGTGTGCCAAAGGATCCATTGTGGTTCAGGAAGAAAGTATGAGAACTTTCAGTTATATATTTTTAGATCTTATCCTTTTTCATATATAATTTCATACATAATGTTTGTATATATAGTAAGCAGTAATTATGAATTGCTGTTCTAAAATGCACATTGCAGTCAACTCTCAGTACACATTGGTTCCAGGTCCTCTGTGTGTACCAAAATCTGCAGATGCTCAAGCCCCTTAAATAAAACCAATCACTGCTTTTGCCAGAATCTAGTTTTCTGCTACTATATTAGGTATTTATGGGTTGGGACCAGACTTCAGCAATCACTGTACTCTCAGTACCTATAATAGGGTTTGGAAAGCATTGAATTCCCAATATCTTTATTGAAGAAAATAATTAAACAGAATAAGAACCTTACTAGTTGTCACAACTATGCAATACCTATATATTCTTTCAATAGAGACTCATTCATAAAATTAGCACAAATGGAAATGGACATTTTCTTTTTTCTCTACCTTCAGTCCCATAGGCAGACAGTAGACCTCTTGGCCAGTGAAATATGTTGATCTGAAATTGAAATTCTGAAAGAAGTTCATCATATTACTGTGATCCCCACTTATCTGCAGAAAATATGATCCAAGACCCACACCAATGCCTGAAACTGTGAAGAGTATCAAGTCTTACCTATGCTATGTTTTTTCTTATATGTGCATACCTATGATAGAGTTTAATTTATTAACTAAGCAGAGTAAGAGATTAATAATGACAAATAAAATAGAACCATTGTAACAGTGCACTGCTATAAAAGTTATGTGAATATCATGTTTCTCTGCCCCTCTCTGAAAAAAATCTGCTTACTAGTTAGACTGTGGTTGATTACAGGTTATTGAACCAAGGAAAGGGAAACCATAGATAAAGGAGGACTGTTGTACTTATATCAGTCCATCACCACAAATCATGTTTCTCACCACGCTGATACTGTCTTTGAACCACTACCACTTACAGCACTCCTGTGTTACTGTCACATTGTTAACACTTCCATGGACTGTGCCAAATATGGTTGCCCATCCACTAGCGTCACCTGTGAAATGATGATTAATATACATCAGTTATTCTAGCAAGCACATATCATGCTGTAAGACAAACATATAAAAATGTGAGAATGAAATAAAATTAAAAATTTGTTTGAGTTTAGAATGATCAATATTTTAAATAGATAGTAAGAGGAGAAAAAGCAGGGCTTCCTGTTTTTAGAATTATAAATGTTTTAGGTATACAGATCATAAAATACATAATTCAAATGTATAATTACTTTATACAAATACAAATGCATTGAAAAACATCACCTCTTTCCAATACAGATATTTTAAATGTTAGAGCTTAATTTTGAAGACCTCAGAAAAAATATAATCTGTATTTTTCTCATGTGTATTTTGCTGCATAAGTATATGTAGATACATACTTGAAAGATAAAATGAGGAGTTAGGATAAGATTTATGTTGTCTGACCTTTTTAAATAAAAACAAGGTGCTTTTATAGGCTGATGGGTCTTGTTGAGATATCTTTCCTCAATTTAACATATGTTAATGTGATCTACTTGTTGGTCAAGTTTCCTTCTTTTTTTTGTGATAAAAATTCTTTTTCCACCCAAAGAAGGCCTAATTTTGAAGCATCACTCCTTTAACACATGTGATAAAGGTGGTAAGATACGCATATACTGTTTGATGCTGATGTTTCTACAAATCCTAAATAAGACACTCAGGTTTACATAAGTCAAAAACCAGGGCCGGCGCTGCGGCTCAGTAGGCTAATCCTCCGCCTTGAGGTGCCGGCACACCGGGTTCTAGTCCTGGTCGGGGCGCCAGATTCTGTCCCGGTTGCCCCTCTTCCAGGCCAGCTCTCTGTTGTGGCCTGGGAGTGCAGTGGAGGATGGCCCAGGTGCTTGGGCCCTGCACCTGCATGGGAGACCAGGATAAGTACCTGGCTCCTGGCTTCGGATCAGCGCGGTGTGCCGGCCGCAGCGTGCCAGCCGCCGCGGCCATTGGAGGGTGAACCAATGGCAAAAGGAAGATCTTTCTCTCTGTCTCTCTGTCTCACTCACTGTCCACTCTGCCTGTCAAAAAAAAAAAAAAAAAAAAAAGCCAAAATGATTGCCCCCAGGCTCCTTTAATCTCTGGCTTTCTTTAACCTCAAGATCCTTTAATTTCTATTTCTTATTAATATATTCACTGATCCCACCCTGATACCTTTAATTTCATTCTAAGCTCCTTCACATGATTTATTTACTTTGGGTTCAGAACATCCTCATGAGGTAATATTCATGGTCTCTGATTCTCTTGGAACAACAAGGAAAGACCAAGACTTTGAAGGCCTTGCCCATTGCTACCCAGAAAGCTTCTCCAAAAACTGAGCACTTATTGAGCGCCTATTGGGTACTCTACTATTCTGGCTCTGGTGATAGTAAAAGAAGACACAGACCTCTTCTCCGAGAGAGTTTATATCTTGGAAGGCCAACTACAGAGAAAAGACCAGGAAGTCTACTTCATGTGTTGGTACAGGCACACCCAAGGTGGTGGTTACAGGCAGGACTTGCTCCCAGCCTAGACGGGAAATAAAGCTTCCGTGTGGCCAAGGAAGCCTTCTTAGGGAATGGGACAGCTGAACTGTATCCTAAAGGCTGACTAGGAGTGATTCACGGGCAGTGTGGCCAGGAGGTGGTGTCCCTGTGGGGGATGCATGTGTGAGGGTGCAGCGGCAGAAGAGCAGAGCCAGGAGCCTAGCTTTCCTGGACTTGGGGGCCCTATTTTGTTTGCTAGCTGGGCAGCACCAAAGGGAGGCAGTTCTGTGTGGAAGAAAACATGGGATTCTTTCAGATTCAGGAGATCTGGGTTCTACTGTCTAACTACACATGTCAGCCTCTTGGCATCTTTTTTTCTGCACAGAAAAATAGGTTGGATTCTACAATAAGTACAGTTTCACTGTTCATGCCTAAAAATGGCTTTAATACCCTATGTTATCTGGCCTCTGCTGACCTTTTCTGTCTATAAACTTAATCACCCTGCTCAAGCCACACTGACTTTTCTATCCCTGAAACACTATCTTGTTTCATTAAGTCTCAGGGTCTTTGCACTGGCTGCTTCCTTTGCCTAGAATTCTGGTCCTCCAGAATATTTCATACTTGTTTTCTTTTTCTTTTGCATTGACTTCTCAATTAAAACATAGTCTTAAAAAGGTTTTCTCTGGTTACACCCTTAAATATGCTTCCCATTTAGTAACTTTCTTTTTCATAGTCCTGTTCAATTTTCTTCCTGGTGTCTGTCACTCTCTGAGATGACTTCACTTATTTGTGTACAGACTTATTGTCTTCTTAGTTTACATTGGAACCCCCAAGGTCTATACCTTTGTTTCTCTTGAGCCTCTGTGCTCCAGTGACTTGCAGAGCTCCTGGTACCTAATGGGCACTTACCACAGGTTTGTTCAATCAATTAATTATCTACATGGACTTGTTAACATTTTATGGATATTCTTATAACTGAACCAAACAGCCAACCATTAGGTGGTATCATAGAGCCCCCTTAAATTACAACATAAGCATGCAAGCACAGTTTAAGATATACCTTCACTGAATTTCTGATCTAAGCACATGCAAAGGCAGGTTATTGCAACAAATCAATTGAGGAGTGATTATGTGCATTACAAAAGGATTCTTTATAGAACAGCAAATCACGTCTTGCGGTGTGTTATGATCCTCATCTGGCAGATCCATGATTCTAGGAAGTGTGTGTGGAACCTGGTGGGAGGACTTACCACAGTTCTCTTCATCAGCGCCATTCCCACAGTCATCCACACCATCGCAGTGAAAAGCACGCGGCAGGCACTTGCTCATATTTCCACAGGGAAAATACCCTTTTTGGCACAAAGGAATGATCACATTTCCTTCAGTCAGTGCAAAATCTGTTGTGAAAGACAGGACAAGAATGTTTTGTAACAGAAACCAACAGTGCATATAACCAAGCTCTTTTTATGTCTTTCCATTTAATTTTCTCAATAATTCCATAAGTTGAGTTTACCCAGTGTTATTTTAGCACATGATGTGTAATCTTCTTAATGATAACTTTTTTGCTAATTTGAGAGGGTGGGAAGAAGAAAGGGAGGGCCTGAGGAAGGGAGGAATGGGGAGGGAAGAAGGAGAGGAAAAGGGAGAGGGAGAGAGAATGAACTCTCATTTGCTGGTTTCCTCCCTTCCTGTTTGGGCCAAGGCTGATTCCAGGAGCTGGGAATCCAATCCAGGTCTCTTACGTGGTGTCAGGATCTAATTACTTGCGCCATCATCAACTGCCTCACAGGGTCTGCACCAGCAGGAGGCCGGAGTCAGGATCCAGAGCTGGGAATCGAATCCCAGAGCTCTGATGTGTAACACGTGCATCTTATCCAGTAGGATAAACGCTGGCACCCTGATCGATAGCATTTTAAACATTCATGATTGTCCCTAACACCAGCTATACCAAGAAAGGAATTAAGATACATTTTGAATTCACTTCTTCCAGATAATAACAAACAAATCCAAATACTTTATGCTACTGTATTGCAATGAAATCAAGGTACTGTGCACTCTTGGAAACAGAAAAGTAAAACCACGAGCTAATTGAATCAAATAGATGATTTATTTACTTATTAATTTTCTCAAGAAGGATTTGAGTTGACTCATAATAAAGAATGTATAAGCAAAATGATGGTTTAAGTGTGAGTTAGAGAAATCCAGACTCACATTAAGATACAGGGAAATGATGCTAAGCAATAAAACCCAATATCCATTGAGTTTTCTGTGTATCAGGCACTTGGATCAGTGATTATTTAGGCTTAATTCTTCAGCCAGCTTGTGGCATGGCTGATTTTATCTGCCATGTTAATTCAAGTATGTTGCTTGCAGTAGTTAATCTGGAAAGTGAGACAAGGCAAGTTTGAACCATCCCTCTTGACTCCAAGAATAACTCTGAACCATTGTGCTATCAGGATGTCAGTTGAATCAGGAACCTGCTTTTCATGAGTGGAAATCCTCTGTGAGAACCAATTAAACATAATCTTGTGCAGGGAATATAAAACCAATGTAAGGCTGAATAGGAGGGTAGAGAAAGGATAACCAATTAACGTTTATGAAGGTACTGTATCTAGGGATAGATAAGCCAAAACAATTCCAGAAATTTAGATGTAAGAGACACTCTTTTTTTTTTTAACTTTTATTTAGTAAATATAAATTTCCAAAGTACTGCTTATGGATTACAATGGCTCCCCCCCCCCATAACTTCCCTCCCATTTGCACCTCTCCTATCTCCCGCTCCCTCTTCCATTCCATTCACATCAAGATTCATTTTCAATTATCTTTATATACAGAAGATTGATTTAGTATATATTAAGTAAAGATTTCATCAGTTTGCACCCACACAGAAACACAAAGTATAAAATACTGTTTCAGTACTAGTTATAGCATTACTTCACATTGGACAACACATTAAGGACAGATCCCACATGAGGAGTAAGTACACAGTGCCTCCCGTTGTTGACTTAACAAATTGACACTCTTGCTTATGGCGTCAGTAATCTCCCTAGGCTCTAGTCATGAGTTGCCAAGGCTATGGAAGCCTTTTGAGTTCGCTGACTTCGATCTTATTCCGACAGGGTCATAGTCAAAGTGGAAGTTCTCTCCTCCCTTCAGAGAAAGGTACCTCCTTCTTTGATGGCCCTTCAATTTTCAAAATACTTTTTATTTTTTTCATTTTTACGTACTTGAAAGGCAGAGAGAGAAAGAGAGAGAGATAAATTTTTCATTTGCTGTTTCAGTAGCTAAATGCCCACAATAGCCAGGATAGGGCCAAGCCCAAGCCAGGAGCTAGGAACTTCAGTTGGTCCTCCTACATGGGTGGCAGGAGCCCAAGCATATGAGTCATCATCTGCTTCCTCCCAGGATGCATCAGCGGGAAGCTGGATTGGAAGCAAAGTAGCTAAGACTCCAACTGACACTCTCATTGGGATACAGACATTCTGCATAGTGGCTTACCCCACTGTGCCACAACACCCTCCGATTTTGAAGAGGTACTTTTCAGAAAATAAAGAGATATATTATTTGTAAATTGGCTAGTAAAATTATGTATTTTCTAAAAAATAAAAAGGAGTTCAAGTTGAAACTTCACAGAAATTGACATAGGAGAATTTAGACATAGAAATGGATGTTGGCCAAGTGCCCCTAAAAATACTGTGGAAAGCTGGCATCATGGTCTAGGGTCAGTGCAGAAGGATGGGGAATAAGGTGTCCTTAACCTTGTGCTGGTATTTTCTATTCCTTTAGTTCATTGCAATGGCACCCTTGTATGGTTGACATTATTATCTTGATGTATAGAGGAAATGAGGACTGAGAAGACAAAGGCAGTGCTACTCTGGTTTTTGAGAAAATGCCCATGTGAGGTCTTCGCCCTCTGGGCAAAACCTGCCATATAGTGACCTCTTCAGGGCCTCCCAAGAGCTCTCCTAAGGTAGGGGGAGGTCTGTTGGTTTTCCCTGATCAGAAAGGATGCCATTTGCTAAAGGGCAGCAGTTTAGGACAGCGAATCTAAGCTGGAGTTACTGGCGCACGTGAAGCTTGTGCAACAGAGAGGATGAATGGATTATTCAAGCACTTGTACTTGAGTGCTAATGACCCTGGAGATGCACCAGATGGATGACAGCAGATGGCCAGGCTCTCCCTGGGGACAGATGGAGGTGATGGGGCTGTGTCTTCCAGGACCTTCTGGACTGAGGAAGCTAAGTAGAGAAAGGCCCCAGGATGCTTTTCTCCTCACTGGTTGCTTGTTCCTACAAAAGCAGAAGTTCTTTTCTCTGTGCTCACTGCAGTGGTGGGTGAATGATTTGGTATCGACAACTGGGCTAAGCCCAGGCAGTGTGTGGCTATGTTAGGAACACTTTTCCCTGCTATATGACACAGGGGTCGGCCTGTCCACAGAGGGAGAGGCCTACTGTGGCACAGATTTTAACATCTCTTAACTTCTTGTTTGTAGAGAGTTCTACAGAAGGTAGATTTATAAAAACTGGTAGACTTTCTATGCTTGGAGCATGAATGGGCGAGTAGGCCTGCCTTAGTGTAGAGGCCTGGGAATTTTTTAAGACAGTAACTCACAGAGATAAAAAGTTGGTATCACAATTCAGCAGACATACCCACACACATCATTTACCCCTCACATTCCCATTCAACCCACATAATCATCCCTCACACCACCCATATTCACACACCCACACACCCACACCAATATACAGCCATGCTGTCTATACCTACATTCCCTCATCCTCCCATCCTCTCATACTCACCCCTCACGCCCACACCCTAACACACACACATCAATATACACCTACACCCACACCAACATCAACCCATGTCCCTACACCTCTACCTACCAACCCACACTCACACATCTATTCATACCACAGAAACAACATTTCTTGGGCTACCACTTACAGGTTACCATATGGGATGAACTTTGATCGTTGCTGTTGTATCTTACATATTTGAAAAGCGATCATGAACCATTAAGTTGATTTCATGACCCACTAATGGGATGGGACCCCACTATTAAAAAATATTTGAAACCTTTGGAGACCAACAAACCTGGATGAGAATTCTGACAGTTTGTGACCTCAAGCAAGCTATGTAACCTCTTTAAGTATCAGTGTCCTCATATCTAAGATAAGCTTACTGATAGCACCCCTTTTCTGGGTGGGTTTGGGGGACCAGACAAGATGCTGCTTGTGCAGAGCTTGCTGAGAGCAGCTGGCATCCAGTAAACTTTAGGCCAATGCTGGCACACAGGCCACATTAACTCAAAATGGGAAAGCCAGACTTTGAAGTTAGCTCTGGGCATTATGGAAACTCGCCCTAGCATTTCATGACTTCTTATGTGAATTCTGTGAAAGAAACAAAAGACCTCATAATAAAAGCTTCCCCTACTCCTTTATGGTACTCTATTTTAACAGCATAGATCTATGGGGATTTTAAGTAGCCTTAAGTTCTCTTTGAAAGCAAGAGCTGTATAAATGATAAATAGGCAATGAAAATGTTCTTATACCTTCCTAATAATAGCGTTTCATTGATGTTTAAAAAGGGGTGATTAAGGAGAGTTTAGAAACAAAGCTGGGGCTGTGTGATCGAGATGTTTTGAAGGTGGGGAATTATGTTTCCCTCTGGGGTTTATCATGAAGGTGACTGTGACCTTTGAGGGCCAACCCCACTGAAGATCAATCCCAAATCCTAAACTTGTGAAAAGCAGAGGCAGACAAGCAACTGTCAGGAACAAAAGAGAACTAGATCATTTAATTGAGTCTCACCTGGAATGGTGGGCAAAGGAAGGGGAGTGGAAAGGCTGGCCATGGACAAATAAAACCTGACAGTTGTGTTTCTCCTAAATCCCTGTATTTCTATATGCTATGGTTTGAATGTCTCCTCCAGAAGTCATGTTGGAATTTAGCTGTCACTGTACTGTATTGAGAAGTGAGACCTGTGAGAGGTGGTTTAGATCATGAGGACTCCACCTTCACGAATGGATTAATGCTGTTATCACTGGAGTGGGTTAGTTATCACTGCAGTGGGTTAGCTATCATTGGACTCATTTATAAAAGCCAGGTTGCTCCATCCGGCACATGTTCTTTTTCTCCTTGCCTCTCTCGTGGTGCGCTCTCTCTCTATGTGATGCTCTCCACCATAAAATGCCGCAGCAAGATGGCCCTCATCATCTGCTGACACCTTGATAATGGACTTCTTAGACTCCAGAAATAAATTTCTTTCCTGCATCTTCCTGAAGACATCTGAAGCTATAAATTTATAAAGAGAGAAAAAAAATCTATCCCCTTCCTCTTTTCCTCCTCATCCTAAAACCGTGTGGCATAGCTTAGTGCTTAGTATTTACTTTATC